ACAGCACTCTCTCTAGTTTTCAATAGTTCTGTAAATGACACCAATCCATCCTGAAACTTGAAACAAATCAAATGCCTGCTCTTGAAAATAATGGATCACCAAATACTTATATGACTTCTTTGTGGAAAATAATGAACTACATAATTATACTACTCAATTCATTCAGACGAAACTAGATTGAATTCTTCTGAACAAAGTGAGGAACTGCACTGATAATAATCAACAATTTACTAATATAAAGGCAGGACAGAATCAATAAAACAAAAGTGCTTTCACTAGAAGAAATCAGAATAAGGTTTTTTCACTCGTATATTCAACCAATTAAATTCGATTTAAATCACGTGTATTCCAATGGAAATAGTCCAAAGTTATGTGTGCAATTTCAGGTCACCCAACACTTCTTCAGACTACAAGGCCATTTTACTTACCGAAACCATAGTTTCATTTTATTTTTTGTTTGTTCAATGTTTCACTTATTACTTGAAATACACAATTATGCTTGATGAATTAGTAAAGACGCATTTGGATCGTATACAAAAGGTTGTTAGCGATAATTAGACAGTGTTTGATAATTGTGAAATTAGCAATTAGATAATTATCGAAGATATCCACAACAGACTGATGACAAAATGCTTGAAAATCATTTAGAGCTGAACTATGCAAGATATCATAGAGCTTATGAAAAGCTTAAGGTAAGTAAGTGAATTAATTATGTATTCATTGACACGAAGGAAATCAGAAGAGAATACGTGTTTTATGTGATTCGATTTTTTTTTTCAATATTTTACAATTTCTATAAGCTCATGATGTAAAACGCCTTCAAAAAAAAGAGCTCAGACACTTTTTGAACTGATAGAGTTAGTTGATGTAGTTTGAAATTCCGTACTGATGGATTATAAGCGACAGAAGTGCTCTGTCTCTGTCGATATATCAATTCCTAGTGCAACGACAGAAGACAAAGACCAGGCAACAGATCGTTTATTGAGAAATCAAGAGGTATTTTTAAATTTTTATGTAAATTATTATTAGGTTGATTGTTAGCAGAGAAGCAACGTCCTCTTATTGGTTGTTTTTATGCTGAAGGTTATTCTGTCATCTCTTTGTGGCCGTCTCTTAGAAAGCCAGGCCATATATCTGCGAATCATATTTGCACTTGTTAAGTCTTCTGTGATTGGTTGGTGAGTTCCTCAAGGTTAAGCTTTGTCCTTGTTTTTTCTCATGACCACTATTAGGGACGTAAACATTGACATAAATTGTTGTCTGTAATTTTGGCTTGCAGACAGCTCTCACCACAACAGTACGGACACCTCAGCAATGCTTTTTGATAGATATAATGTTATCTGCTTTGTGGCCACTATCAGTGGAATCTAGGGCGCACACTTCGTCCTGTGTGTAACTCATTGGTTTGATGTTAGGGTAGTGGAATTCCCATTATAACTCAAACCCAATCAGTACACACTGTTTCAAACGCCGAAGAGTTACCCACTGTGGCCAATAGGCCACGAGAACGACTGGGATCACTGTCATAACGCAAATGTCAAATGAATAACGACTTGGAGTTTGAAATGATGGGTGTTGGGAACGCCATTATGCACATCTGACCAATGAGTCTCACGTAGCACGAAACTCACATGGTTGATTCTATCACCGACAAAATGACAAAGTAGGTGTTGAAGTTAACCTGGTTAAACAAACGTGGAGACATAAACGATTACTCCCTTCCAGTTAACAAATTATTTAGTCAACGAAGATTCGATAAGATTGTGTCTTGCACTATTTTGGGACACTTCAACAGTACCCACTCGCCACCCAACTGAGAATCAAACTTAGAACCTTCAGGTTACGACGTCAAGCTCGTCAGCTATTCAGCTACTTCGGCTGGAGTCCAATGACCCGTGAATTCTAACTTTTTGATCTTGTGATATGCTGTTTGTAACTAATTCTAAGGATTAAAATTAAAATTAGTCCAAAATCCTCACAGATCTTCTAATCTTATTGTCAGTCACCAGCTCACTGATGGCTACTGGATGGATGTTCTGAAGCTGTAATATGAAACCGTGACCGTTGGAGTCCCCCATGACGTTATGAATTAGATGCTTATCGAAGTCACTAAACATATATAAATATATCACAAGTTGAAAGAAGTTAGAATTGACGAGTCATTCAGTTCTTACCCAAGTGGCTGAATGACCAGAGAGCTTAGTCTCGTAACTCATAGGTCTCGAGTCCGACTCCTGGTGCAGTCTTGGGTGCATCCAAACTAGGACGACATGGCTGTCCAGTACTACCTAGTTTCCAATAATCTCTCTAACTGAGGTTGGTTTGTGATGAAATCCACGAAATATCCCATAATCTGAAGATTGCAGCTGCTCGAAAGAGAAGAAAGATCGATTTTAATTATTACTGATATATTAGTTATTTAATGTCGTAGTTATCAGTGGTGCTGATTTCTTAAATATGACTGATGTATATTTTAAGGAGGATAAAGAATGAGATATTAGTGGATTTCTAATGACAACAGCTGCCTTTGCTGGCTCCATACAGAAGATCAAATGATCAGCCGGCCAGCCAGAAAGAATTAATATCAGGAAAGAAACTTTGGCTGGGAACAAAACAACCGACAGCTGATTGTTCACCAAATATGTAGGAGAAAATGGAAATGGACTGAGCATACGTTGAGGAGGCTAACGAATGACATCATAAGCAATACAGGCCACAGCTTGAGTTGAATCAGAATGGGAATCGACTAGTGGGTCGTCAGTGAGAGGGTGACATGGGGGAGATCGTGTGGCGAGGAGAAGATGAAAGATTATGGACAGTCGTGGAGCTAGCTGAAGAGGACAGCAGAAAATAGAACAAAGTGGAGATGTGTTGGTGAAGCCCTATATTCCAATCGGAACCCAAGAGAATAATAATATTAATGACAGCATCTTTCTATATTACCTGCCTACTAAAAGCCATTAGCTTATACATATTTCTCTCACTCACACTATGCATTCTAATGCTTTCAGAGAATACATATAATAACAATAATTGCTGCATAGAGGAAGTGTTGAACAATTAAACAAAAATATTTGGTTGGAGGATTCCATCATGAGCTGACATTACTTACAGAACCACGGAAAACCTGGGAGTACTGAACATTCGTTCCGTCCTAGTTCGGGACTCTTCCGAAGTACGCGCCCACTGTGGTTCGAAATCCTCCAACTAATCAAACAAAAGCTCCACAAAACAAATACTTGAAAAAGTAGTTGATATCAAAAAAAAGAATAAATTGTTTGCCTGTTAAGACACTTTTATATGTTTTCGGATTAATTATGTTGGACCGAAATTCTGGGTAACCTTGATTAGTCGGCTCCTAGTGCGGACGCTCTTTTGGTGTCTGGAGATTAACGTGCAGTTACTTCGGTTGGTACTGACTACTACTAGAATCCAGAATGCACAGTTTTTCCTATTTGGTACTCTTCATCTGGATGTACCTGCATCCTCAGTGAGTGTTCCTACTAAGACTTAGACCCTTCATCCACCGTTTCACTCTTACTAAGGATGCAGGTGTTGCATACTAGGATCGAACTCTAATCTGTATACTAGAATCGAACTAAATCTTCACGATCCCTAAAGTACCACGCGCTATGTCTAACCGAATAACGACAACATTATATCAAAAAGGCACAAGTGAAGACTTAGGAAATTGTATTAGTAACAGAGTTGGGTTCCTAAACTATGTGAGCAGAAACAATCGGTATTTAACCGTGCAATGTATTTATAGGCAATCAAAAACCTATGTTCTATGACACAGTGGTAAGTGCTCTCTAAACAATCATAAAATCATATTCTGTAAAAGTATAATACAGGTAAATTAATTAGTTATAGAAACGTCTAGTCAAAGTTAGTAGACAGCCACGACACAGGTACTTGTAGATGACGAGTTTCGAACAGGATGAAATGCACATTCTGGATTCCACTGGTAGTAACTACCAACCAAAATAATCCTTATATTTGTTTGAATAACTAAATACTCTCTACCAGTTTCATTACTAATTTAAACTTTGCTTACCATATTTAATCTATTTACCTGGATATATAAGTTTTCTGTACCCAACCAATTTCGATGATAGTAAATTATTAATTTGTACAATACTGATTATGAAATCAAGATTCCAAAGATGGAAAGTTATGCACTGGAAATTCTAATCTTGTTTACTGCATAATTTTCAGGTGTGTATCTGACTTACTGTTGGTACAAATGACGTTATGATGATGAAATGATAAGTAAATAATAATAACTGTCATATTGATGATGACAATCTTATCCATTCTCCTGACTTCTGAGTGGGGTATATCGTTTCGAGTTTCTGAAGTTTCATTAGAGTTGGCGTTGGCTTTGTGAAATGGGTCACTTGTAACATCAGAAGGCAAGACATGGAGGCCAAGGTATATTTTCAAGTGATCAAACCGCTATATATATGCTCTAACCAAGTAATCCACAACTGTCGGAATCATTCGAAGTGAAGACGGGAGTAAGACAAGACTGCCTACTATCTCCAATGTTTTTTCCTGATTGCGGTAGACTGGATAATTCGACAGACAGCTGGCCGCGCAACAAGGGAACAGGCATAAAATGAACGTACACAAAAACCTTGAAGGATCTGGAATTCGCCGATGAAATGTCAGATTTCCCACAAACGGAAAATATTCAACCGGAGAGCAACAAGTTGGCAGATGAAGCATCCAGAGAAAATAGGACTTCAGGCGAACATAGAGAAAACAAAGGTGATGGAGATTCCTGACCAACAGCAACAGCAATCACAACAACAGACAACAGTCAGCCAGCATAAATAGCATAAATCTGAAATAAGCAACCTCCTTTACTTACCTACCTGGGAAGCATCGTTTCAACTACAAACGGACAGAACTGATGAGGATATCAAAGCAGCGAGGATTGGGAAATCAAGGCAAACAATCTTCCATTACTCTCAAGTCTGTGTGGAGATCAACAGCACTCAGCATGAAAATGAAAATAAGATCGGGATTTTCAACTCGAATGTGAAGTGACTGCTACTTTATGGACCAGAGACTCGGCGCGTTACGATGGGCACTTCGAACAAACTATAGACTTTCATCAACTGCTGTCTTCGCTCAATAATACTCAAGATCAGATGGTTAGCCAGGAAAGATCAGCAACAGGGATCCCTGGCAATGGGCGAAACAACAGAGCAGGAACGGATTGTACAACAAGTATGCAGGAAGAAATGAAGGTGGATTGGCCATACTCTGAGAAAACCATCAAGTGAATGACATCACACGCCAGTCCATCGCTCTAGTGGAGGCCGGATAGAAATCGGCGAGTTGGTGGTCAGTGCGAGAGTGATATGGAGGAAGAGGTGGTGTTAAGAGGATATGAAAGCAAGTGAGCAGATGTGGAGTCAGGTGAAAATGTTGGCGGAGAACGGAACTCAATGGAGACGTGTGGCTGAAACCCTATGTTCTTCTAGGAACTAAAGGAAACAATAATAATAATGATAATAATATTCTATAGCCAATCATTCATTTTGTGATTTTGGTTTACTTTAAATAACATGAAGTGGAATGTTCAAATATACACAGTATTCTGTTGCAAACGCAGTAATGAACTGTGGGAATATGTGAAAATAATATTCCGTTGGAACACATTGTCTGCACCACACCACCACATGCTAATCTCACGCTCAACCTTCTCTCTTCCCCCGTATTACTAACGTCTAACTGACTAGGAGAGGTTTAGAACTGTTGACCAACCACACGCGTAGTTGGTGAGCATTCTATGATTCAACCTCCGATGCGCATACTAGTACTACTGTAACAACAGAAGACAAGGGCCAGGCAACAGATCGTTTATTACGGAAAATCAACACATATTTATAGATTTTGATGTACATTATTGTAGGTTAATGTTAGTAGAAAATACAGTCTGTTGATTGGTTGTTTCTCACACAAAGTTAACATTGCATCTCTTGTGGCTGTGTCAGTTCATCTATATGTTAACTGTATCCGCCTGTCCATCTTGACCTTGTTTTCACATGACTAACATTGACCTCAATTACTGTCAACCAATTTGGCTAGCAACCATCTCTCACCACACTACTACTACTACTACTACTACTAATAATAATAATAATAATAGTAATATCATACATTTACTCCACTTTATTAAACTGAATAAAACAAGAAAAACGGTTTATACAGTATAAGATAGTACCAGTGTTTACTTTATCAGCTTATCATTATCTGCATACACCCTAAAGAAATTATGAAGTTTATGTACAGAACAACTTTAACATACTTTCAAGTGTGACATGATATCAGCTAACACGAGACTCCAAATTTTATAAAAGGTGTTCAGAAATTACATTTATACAGCTTAAGGAAAAGCAGTTGTGTAATAAGGGCTAGAGGTGTATAAGATGATGTATAACTAATAGGTTAAGTAACAATGTGGTGAGTCCAACTCAAATCCTAGAAACAATTGATGTGTGAATTAACACTATGTTGAAGGGGAAGAGGCTGAAGTCAAAAACTACGTAATCAGATAAAAGAGATAGAGTGAAGACATTCACTTACCAGGATAACGAGACTCATTCGACAATTTATCCAAAAATTTATTGTTTTAAACTTGAACTTCCTATGTATAAGCCGTATAAGTGTAATTTCTGAGCACTGTTTGGGGTCACCTGTCAACTGACATCATGTAACATCTGCAAGCTGACTGTACGCGTTTGATGAGAAGTCGACGAAATAAATGATGGTACTATCTTATTCTGCACAAACCGTTGTTCTTGCTTTATTCAAAATAATAGTAATAATAATAGTGCAATTAGCACTTATTAGAAGTTCTTCATAGAAGACTTGGATTGATATGCCATGTAGCAGTTAGAGATGAATTAAGTTGATAAAGCCAGTGAAATTTCAAAATACACTAACCATGAAAGTAACAAAATATCTGATGATGGTGTCAGAAATTCTCTTCGTTTGTGTCAAATAAAATCATGTTGAATAATGCAAGTATGAATGAAGGAAGAAGAGTATTGCAGTTGAAAACATGTAAATTCCTCTGAGAAATCGTTTGTAGGATTAGTGTAAATAATTTAAAACAACGCTTACACTCATATGAAAGCCAACCTGTGCTACTCATCTACTTGATATGATTATGAGCGATAGTTTGTGCTCGAAACGTTACCAGTTAATATAACTGTACAACACTGTGTGATTTATCAAAATAAAATCTTATCCATAATGGAGTTATATTCTACCACAGTGCCAAAGTTTTATACTTATATCAATACTGTTCATCTACAGTTAGATTCACCTGACGAAGAGAAGAATTTAGCTGGATGTTAGTACTTTTCAGAGAAATACTGTAGAACATCTGTTTATCTGGGAAGATGTGAAGGGATTCTATGCACTGAGTGTTCGCTTAAGTAGTGGATGTGAATAGGGATAATGTATGTGGATGAATTTTCATCACATCAGCCACCAACTGACCAATAATACAGGATAAAAACATATTTCATGTCATGCATGTTCAGCATATTCATACATTTTCATAAGGATGTCGTGTGCAAACCGTGACAATCCTACCTTAGCTTATTACATGAATAAAGAAAAATGATATTTCCCATAATGTATGATATATAATATTTCAAATGCGGATAATCTTAACATATTCACAAAAACAAATGTAAAATATGTACCTTATTTTATGGCTATACATGTATATATACATCCTGACGACAGGAGTAAGACAAGACTGCCAACTGTCACTCACCTGTGATAATTCTGACTGTGGTGAGCTAAAATTATGCGACAGATTGGGGTGAGCCAGATGACACAAATACGTTTGACCCGTAAGAAGACTCTAGGAGATCTGGGATTCGGGGATGATTTGAATTTATCGTCACTTAAAGTCAAAGATCTACAGGAGAAAACCAACAAGTTGGCAGGAGAAGAAGCAAAGATAGGACTTCAGGTGAATATAGAAAAGATGAAGGTGATGAAGATAACTGACCGACAGCAGCAAGAACCAATCACCATCAGAGGGAGAAACTTGGAAGAGGTCACTTCCTCCCCTTATCTACACAGCATCGTTTCAACTGCAGGCGGGCGACACGTATGGGGATATCAAAACCAGAAGTGGAAAGGCAGGATAGACCTTCATCCCTCTGAAATCACTTTGAAAGTTTCCTGTAGTCAGCGTGAGAAACAACAGTAGTGTTAAATCGGTTCTTCTCCATGCGTTAGAAACTTGCACTGCCTGTTACGAAATGCGTTTCCAACAGGCTAAAGACTTTTATTAAAATCTGCCCCCGCTTCTTACTGAAGAGCAGATGGCCAGAAAGGACTGTCAACAAAGAGATTCTGGAAGTGGACCGACCAAGTTTCTGCTGCTCAACACTGGAGAGGGATTAGACACACGGTGAGGAGACTGCTGGGTGACATCGCGTGTCTTGGCAGTTCTTCGAGTGTGACCCCAATGGGGAATGATGAGTTGGGCGTCCTAGGGTTACATGGAGGAGATAGTGTGAGGAAGAGATGAAAGCATACGGGAAGTGATGGGGCCAGTTGACGAGAGCTGCAGAGAACGGGACAAAATGGAGACGAGCTGTTGAAGCTCTGTGTTCTATTAGGAACCCAAGGGAATTATGATTATATATATATATATATGTTTTTAACTCCATTGCACCAAAATGACATTTAATACGCTTATTATATAAAAATCATCAGTATAATGTACAAATCTATTAATTTTTTGAAATAGCTATGGATTTACTTTTGATTAATTCAATATTTTCTTATTTTCTTTTATTCTGCTCTTTTCTTTTTAATGAAGGCATTGAAACAACCTTTGGATTCAGATAAACAATCTACTCAAATGACTTTTGAAAGTTAGTCGAAGATAACTAAACGTTTTTTCATAAAAATAAATACAGTATGCATCCGTAAACTAAGTACAAGTACATGTGTGAAACTACAGACAAGTTAGGGAGTTACTATAAGACATTACGATGGCTAGTGTACAATAAGTTTGAATTCACAGCTTTCTCAAAATAGTTTTTCTAAGAAGTTTTTAGATGGTATGGATGTACAAAAACAATAGTGACTGCAAATGCGAATGGCCGAAAACAAAATAAAAATGGGTATAATTTGAAAAGAACTGAAACAGGTCAAGAATCTGATTTAAACCATGAAATTAGAAAAATAAACCAGTAGAAAAACAATCAGTCCTTGAGCGTACACATAAAGCAGTTGTTTCGTCCTAGTTCGGGATCCCTTAGGAGTACTCATTTACTGCGGCTTGCGTCCAGGACTTCCGGTGACAAGGGGTGCTCGTAGACCATTCAGAAACTGAGCCCCAATTCAGCAGCCTGGAGATCTAACTTCCGCCAATTTGCGACATGTAGCGTATCCACCAGCTGGTGTCATAAGCTAGTAATTGTTCTCTTACCGAACTCAGTTGTTCCCGCTTGTTACGACTTCTCACTGGAACTCCAGGTAACTTTCTGTATACAGCCAGTCACTGGTGAGCAGAAATTGGAATTCACGAGCCAATGAATCGGGTCCCGGTGGCTGAATGGTCTGCGAACGCACCCTGTTGCCAGAAAGTCTTGGGTTTGAACCCCGGTGGGTTCATGCTGATGAAGAGTCCCAAAGTAGGAAGAGGTAGCTGACCAGTACTTTCTGGTTTCCCGCTGGTTCGCTGACTGATGTGAGCTCGTGACTAAACCTATCACTACTACTACACATATTACATAAACTACAATTGTGTACAGTAGACTGCTTAACAAATAATACTGTTCAAGAACTATAAATCTTTAGTTTAAGAGGTTAGTTATTTAAGTCGTAGTTGTGCTGTCTCAGCACTATGTCTTTATTGTCAAGCTTTCAAAATAATGGCGAAGATTTGTAGCTCATGTGGATGATTTTGATTTAGCTGTGTTTTCTGAGATGGTTGATTTAATGCAAAGCTTTCATTGTCTTCTTGGAGAATATCTTCAAAGATGACTTCGGTTAAGCCATCCAGCTGTCAGAGCACAACCATATCAGTACCATCCACCTGACCTACAAATCTTCTGAATCATTATTGATGCATGTCAGTACAAAAATTAAACAAGATTGTGACTAATCTGTATCCTTTCAAAATGAGTCATAATATCGCTATAACAATAAGATCAGTTCACTGAATCATAAATATCTTAGTGCAATGAAGAGATGTCTATATGTCAGTTTTAAACGATCCCATGAGAACAGTATTACAGACCTGGCGACAGTAGCACGCAGCAAATTATTTCCATTAATAAATAATATTGCCACAATACTTTTTTTCCTCTGCTGGAATATATTCTATTCTTTAGATCCAAAAAGTGATATGGATAACTTTATGAAATTTATGATGCTTCAACAGCTACAGCAGCAAAATGTATTATGGCAGTCTGCATTACTGAAAACATTTTCCAAAGGTTAGTAATAGTAATAGTTGTAGTGTAATAGCAGAAGGCAAGACACGGAAGTCAAGGTATATTTTTCATTAATCAAACCGCTGTTTTATATATATATATATATATATATATATATATATACAGCTTACATCATTTAACCAAACACTGAGTGTTCCATTTCGGTTTACATTAAACGGAGTGAAATAGAATGTTCAAATACGTAGTATTCTGGTGTCTACTGAGTATTAAACTGTGAGAATATGTGAGAATCATATTCCGTTGGCAGACATTTTCTGTACCACACCACCACACTCGTCCTCCATCAAAAACGTTCTACTGAAGTCGGTTAGATGTTCTTAGTGATGGCAGCTTTGTTAGCTTGTCTTGCTGTATTGTGTTCCGCAGCTCTCTGACGTTCGCCCGCTTGTATTTGTTTGCATTTCTGATCGTACATACGTGACCCTGTGTCACAGTGACTGTGCGTGGTCCTTTCCACTTTGGAAGCTGTTTGCCTGATCCTGGCACTCATTCGTCAGTGTTTCGACTCACACTTTCATTTGCCGCCTTCACCAGACCTCCCAGCAGCGTTCCAAGTAACAGCCTCATCGCTGATGGATCTTGAAAGCAACTCAACTGTACAGAAGCCTCGAAGTCCTGCCCGAGGATCCATATGTCTCCATCAAATACTTCAAAGCATAGGCTTTCCATCTGTCGGCAGGCAGCGACACCAAATGTAACGACGGAAGACAAGGGCCAGGCAACAGATCGTCTATTGAGAAAATCAAAAGATATTTATAGACTTTTTATGTACATTATTATTAATGTTATTATTAGCGGAGAAGCAACGTCCTCTGTTTGGTCGTTTTCTTGCTGAAGGTTATTCTGTACTGCTTGTGACCGTTTCTCAGAAAGTTAAACCGAATATCTGCAAATCATATTTGCACATGTTAAGTCAGTTGTGATTGGTTGGTGAGTTACTCAACGTTAAGCTTTGTCCTTGTTTTCTCTGATGACCCCGATTCAGGAGGTAACAGTGACGTAAACTGTTGTCTACAATTTTGGCTTGCAGACAGCTCTCACCACAGTAGTATTGGAAACCCAAAGTTTCATTATTATTTGTATACACACCGATAAAAGCAAGTCTGATTTTGACAACAAATGAGAAAAATCAAGGTGTTTCTTTTCTATTCACGTATATCTTTATCTAGCTTTACTTATGTTATGAAAGGTAAAGGCATAAACACCGTGTCTGGCAACCATCAGCTCTGAAAACCAATGCACACTGATTTCTAGGCTACTGACCCATGAAAGTCACTCTTTATCAAACAAGTATCATTTGTAGTTACTTATTCATAATGATAAGTCTGACCCAGTGAAAGACTAGTCAGAATCACATACATAAATAAAATAACAGGTTTAAGCTGTGATCAACCTGTAAACGATCACATTTTTAAAATCAATCAACTAAGGTGGTAGTGAATGCTACTGACAGTATTTATAAGTAGTATGTATATACAGATGAAAATCTGTAAACCATCTGGAAGAATTTCGAATAGCGGAGAGATGGATTTAATGAAGATGAAAGGAAATGAACCATTTATTGTGAAACAACATAGGAAACACGAGAGCAAGACAAAGAAGTTCAATGCTGAAGACATGTGCAAATTGCGTATTTTGTCTATATCTTTACATTGTTACCAAATTTTCTAATGTTTCGACGCTACAAAGCTAATAGTATTAATCACATAGAAATAAGGCACCTGATGTGGACAAGTGATGAAACAAAAACACTTAATTATTATTTGTTCGCATCTGACATCTAACGTTTCTTCATATGATGATTGCTTATCATTTAATGGTTGCCCCTGATGTTTAACAGCTTAGATAAGTACAAAGCTAAACTTTTAAAATTGATATTCTATAAGTTAGAACTATTTCAACAATTATATTTCATTGGTCGAAGTGGTGCACCATTTTTGAGCACTTTAGGCAAGCCATATAATCTTGGTGTGAACGTCCCAGTGGGTTTAAGTGATGTATGCTGACTTTGTGAGATAGAGCCTCTTTGTTTTTATCTTCTCAATGCTTCCCCTAACTGTTTCTCTATCTTTTCAATCGGATTATCATTAAGAATTGTATTCATCTTCTCGAAGTAATCCTCTTTGCTCATGATAACCACTCCTGAGCCCTTATCAGGTCTTGTTATTATTATGTTATCATTTTTACGGAGAATATCTAGAGCTTCTCTATGTTTTTGGTCAAAATACTATCCGAATTGCGTTTACTATTCATATAATAATAGCAACAGTCTACCAGAGTTGATTTAAGTCTTTCAACATCTCCAGATGATGAGGGTGTTAGACCTTCGGTTTGAGTGTAGAGACTTTCAAACTGAATTTGTGCATTCATTTTATTAATTTTAACATGGCTATCACAAAATTTAGGGCCAAGAGATAAGACCTGTAGATCCACTTCACTAAGGACTAAATCCGAAAAATTATACACAAAACGTCTTGAGTTCGGAGGAAATCTTGCTTCAGGTGTATTGTTCTCCAAACTCTGTATCAGCTTCGTGCATTTCTTTTCTTTCCTTTTACTCACAGTTACATCCACATAATCTTCTTATTGTACCATTCTCTTTTCTGGTCATAAGGACGTCTAGAAATGAAATAGTAGAATCTTTTTCTTTCTCAATGGTAAAATTTATTCCCATTAATAATATTAGAACAAGACATATAAGCGAACAATTTTGTTTTCAGTTAGATCTTCTTCAGCCTTTACTCTAATTTACGTAGATTTATATATAAAAATTTTTAACCAATGACGGTGATTTTGTGGATCAAATAATAATAATGTGGTAAGTGTTTTGAACTTCAGTAATAACGATGATAATAATAACAACAAAATAATGATAATAGGGTATATGCAGGTGGCGATAAGAATAACGAAGGTAGTGAGTGATATGTGTATTTGTAGACAATTCAATTAATAAATTAGGTCAAATCTTAAAAGTTACGTAATAGTAAATCTGAAGCGTACAGATAGCCACAATTTAAATAAATATCATTAGGATACGAAGGAAATGGAAAATAAGAAACGGTGGGAGGGTTTTGATTAGAATTCGCCTAGACAAGCAAGGGAGAGACAAAGGTAGAAAAAACTTCTTTTGTATGCAAAGACTAGGATTGTTCTCTCGAATTGATTGCCATAGCTTCGACAGTATGTAAAAGACGGGTTTGAATTCCGTACGAAAGGTTCGATAGAATGCGATAGATAACTTTGAAGGCATTTTCTCCGCCCACCTGATGATCACTATCATCCATCAAATGAGTCAAAATAGAACTTCTTATAGATTACATTTGGCCTTTTCCAAACTATGAAGGAAGGTGCTCAACAATGCGTTTGTTGAGCTGTCTAGTTGTTCGTCCTACACAGCTCTCTCCACAAGAGCAACTAAATTTGTAGATACACATAGAAGTGGTTTACCTAGCTAGGTAGATTGTCTTTCTCTTGAGCAATCATAATCGGTCGGTAGCTGGAAAATGACAAACAAAGGTTAGCGGCAGTCTAAGTCCGTTTTATTGCTATTGATAATCTTAGATGTAAGACTTCACTAGCCACGTCCCTATTAAATTAGAATTTTAGGAGCAGTTTCTTTTTAACTGTTGTCATTTTCTCGTAATTATACCTGGTGTTCAAATGTCTCCCTACAAATCTACTAGGATAACCCATTTGGGCCAGAAACATTGACTGTCTTGGAGTACATTAATGGTTACATAGCTAACACTGGTTCTCATCACATGCAGTGCATGTCAAGTAAGGTATCGTTAAATTCGTAATACTTAGTCATCTAAGCATAAAATCTTTTATAACAGCTTCTAGACCTACCGTATAAGATGCAAGGAGAGACTTGTGTATAGAAAGGATGTTCAAAGTGAGACAAGATGATATTGGTCAATTTTGTTGCGTGAGTTCAAGTGTCTTTCTAAAAGAGTATTATCCAGTTAATTTAGAGCTACCCCACCCCAAATAACGACAACCTTTAGTGCCCTTCTCAGTATCACAAAGTCTTTCTTAAGTATCCCAGAGCAGATTAGTTGGCAGCAATAACGAAGGAGAGGCAGAATACAAGAACTAACAAACTGTAAAATTAGACACTAAGAGATACCAAACTATCTTAACTTCCGAATATAGAAAGTTAGATGTAATATCTTTCTAGAAATCAGGGCCAGGTGGGAAAGTGAGCAAACATCACAGGAAAGACTTAACCCAAGGTATTTAATATTCGACTTAGTTTCGATTTCATTGCAATTTATGATACAAGCACCATAGGAACTATCCAATTCATGTAAACACGTTTATGTCTGAAAGTAAAATTCACTATCTGGAACACTGACTAAATTAAGACAAAAAGCTCTTCATTTTGGAACAGTCTGGAATAGTCAGGTCATCCATAAGAAGGAGTAATCGAATTAATAATAACAATAACATCAATGAAAAAACCAATGAGTAATTCTAGTTAATCCAGTTTCATAAAAGCATTTAAGGATAAAATGAATTCTTGTATAAAAATTGATAACACTTTTTTCATTTTTTTCAAACTGATTTATTTATTTAGAAGATCGTGTACAATACATGATGCAGTATCCTCCAATGGATTTTATGAGATATCAGAATGCTGATACTGAGAAGAAACAATTAGCAATTGAAAGTAAAAAGGGTAAGTTAACCAAAAAAACTATATCCTTATTACAATCATTCTCTTAATTCCATTGTTTTTTATTCCTTTACGTTCCCAGTGGAACATAGGGAGGCTTCAGGCTAGAGACTTGAAGTTTCTGTAGTAGTGGAGTTGATTTCTACGGGATGGAGTTGCTGGCCTCATGCCCAACCTTCTCTCTTTACCAGTCTTAGTACTGGCTGAGCGAGCGAGGTAAAGGAGTGAGTCAGTGGCCGAGGATCGAAGCCCGGATCACTTGCGTGGTAGGTGACCATTCTACCAATGTGCCACCGACGCACACCTTAATTCTATATTAATTTGAAATTAGTTGTGTTCGCCTAACTGGTTGGCTTAATTGTGAAGCTTTCGTCGTCCTTCGGGACACATATTCAGCGCAAGTTTCAGCATAAAATCAACTGATTTAAATTCTCCATGAATGATATAACCGTGTCTCCTGGCAAAAATTAGAATTAAAAGCTCTACCTAAAATTAAACCAAAACTCTGGGTACGTTACTTTGATAACACATTTATAATAATTAAAAGAAATGGTTTGGGACCTACAAACAAATTAATAAACAACATATATGAAGACATCAAATTCATGAGAGAAGAATTAGATAAATACCCATTTTTAGATGTCTTAATCAGGAGAACAAACAAAGGAAACTTAGAAACACAAGTATATAGGAAATCAACGCACACAGACCAAATACTTAACTATAATAGTAATAACCCAATTACTCACAAAAGAAACTGTGTGCAGACATTGTTTAAAAGAGTTCAAACACACTGTAGCACTCCAGTGTTGAAGAGAATGGAGGAAAAATACCTACTAACCGTCTTCAAAAAACTGGACATCCTCACAATTTCATCAAAAAACCAACAAGAAACCATCATCAAAAACTACAAGGAAATTCATCCTACCATATATAAAAAATATCTCTGAAAAAAAACAGCTAGAATATTGAAACCGTTTGAAATAGATATAGCACAGAAGCCTGTCAACACAATCACTTCATTCTATACTGTGCAAACCAAAAGATCTGTTAGAAAAAGAAGATAAAATTAATACCGTTTACAAAATAAATTGTGTGAACTGTAACAGACATTACATTGGTCAAAGAGGGCGTCCCCTTCGAATCAGAATCCAGGAACACAAATTACCTGTGAAGAGACATGATATATATTCTTTCATATCAATGCATGTAGATAATTATGGACATCAGTTTGATTGGGATAATGTAGAAATTTTAAACATAGGAAACACCAAAAGTGTCGGAGAATTCCTAGAAGCCTGGTACTCAAGCTGTGGTGAAAGCCGCCTGCAAGCCAAAAATTTTAAACAGCAATTTACGTCAATGTTACGTCCCGAATCGGGGTCATGAGAAAAAAAATGAAGCTTAACTTTCTAAGAAACGGTCACAAGCAGTACAGAATAACCTTCAACAAGAAAACAACCAATCAGAAGACGCTTTTTCCCTGCAAATAATAACGAATAATAATATACATAAAAGTCTACAAATATCTGTTGATTTTCTCAATAAAGGATCGGTTGCCTGGCCCTTGTCTTCTGTCGTTACTAAGCGAATCAGCGATTAACAAACATATCAATATAAATCAGATTTACCAACTAGTAAAAAGTAAATCAAGTGACAAGAAATTTAAAAATCCAAGTCAATAAAAAATAATCAGTACAGATGTATATCGACTAACAGTCACGAAGATGGTTATCAGGAGACGCAACTCTATCATTCATAGAGAATTTAAATCAGTTCATTTTATGCTGAAACTTGCGCTGAAGATGTTGTCCAGATGGACGGCGAAAGCTTCGCAATTAAACCAACCAGATAGGAGAACACAACTAATTCCAAATTACCCATCTGAGCTACAAATCTTCTCTATTATTTCTATATTGATTTGTTTATTGGATATCACACACGTCTACAGTGGAACAGTGTTGTTTACTAGATGACGAAGTTTCAAACACAATTTATTGTTCATAATCTTATCAGTTGTAAATACACAACTTTGAAAGTTGATTTCTATAGTCGTCTTTCTCCTTTCCTGTTTGTCATAGGGCGAGGTAAAATATTCCAGATGTCCAAGGCAGGCGTTGAGTCATTCTTGTTGCCTGTGTCCTCAGCTGATTCTATAAATGATTTGTAAAGTCATGAAGTCTCAGAAGTGACATGAGTTCCTTCAGCGTTGCAGTTACGCCTTGCTGACTGGTGAGTACCAACCAGCACGAAACTTAGGTTCTCAGGGCTTACTGCCGATTGCCTCCAACCATCTAATATCAACAATATAGTAGTAGTATAATGCCGTATAAGTTAAGACCATCCTATTATTATTTTTTTTGCATAAACTAAATGTCACATTATGCATATGATATTTATTTATTTACAGAAGATAAACGTTCAGAAATTTCAAGAAATTCTTACGTATTTCAAGATCATGGTATGTTGGCAATTCGGCAATCTTAAACACACTAATATTGTGTATTTTAAGAAAATGCTAGAAGATTACGTATTTTCGGTTATATTGAACTATTTGCAATCATTATGAAGAAGTCCATCAATCAGGTAAGTTACATTTTAATCAGATTCATAGAGTTATCCGTGAAATACTAGAAAGTTCAAGTGTTGGTTTGTAGGGATTTGATTGGTTACAGGATTTTCATCATCCCTACAAACCAACACTTGAATATCAATGAGATGCTCACTAGCGACTTGCCCTATTCAGGTAGGTAGTTACCTGGGGTTCTAGTGAGAAGTCGTGACCAGTAGGTTGCAGCAGGTCGGGTGTGGGGACAAATACTCGCCAAAGACATTGGCTAGGGGTCACGCTATGTCGTGAATTGGCAGAAGTTAAAATTCATGGACCATTGGATCGGCTCCCAGTGGCTTAATGGTATACGAGCTCGCCTTGTAACCAGAAGGTCCTGGGTTCGAATCCCGGTGGGTGCGTACCTCTGAAGAGTCCCAAACTAGGGGAAAAAAGCTGTCTAGTACTCTCAGGTTTTCCAATGGTTCTCTAACTAATGTCAGTTCATGATGAAAATCCTGTAACAAATACTAGAAAACTTAAGGCATGATAAAGCTAAACTGTACTAAAGCAGTTAGTGTAGAAGTCTTAAAGTTTCAGTACTGTTGTTTAGTGAATTCTGGTCAGGCAGGCGAATGTGCGTCGGTGGCACAGTGGTTAGGACTCTCGCCGACCATGCACATGGTCCGGGGTTCGATCCCCTGCCGGCGCACACCCGATATCTATGGTCGGCCTGAATTTGGGCTACCGATATCCATGCTGAAAATTCCAACTTGTACTGAAATACGTGTGGAATCAAGCTGTAAATCAAAATAAAAATAAAATAAATAGTTCTTCAATGAACAAAATATTCCTATACTAAGTCATAAGAAAAAAGCGTAAATAGCGAAGAAAATTTTCTTTTCGACGATTCATTTTCATGAGCTGTACAATCGTAATTATATTTAACAAAGAAATCATTAGACCAATCAGATACTGGTAAACTTTGTCCTCGAAAAATGTATTACGTAATGAAAGGTGTAACCTAGACGGGATGACTAATTGGAAGTTAGAAAAGAGGCAGAAGTTGGCATGACGTAATAAGTGTGAGATAATGACTAATCAATAAGCTCGTGTAGAATGGACAAGAACTAGTGGAAAGACGATAAAGTGTTTTGTATAAAATCTGTATGAAAAACAATGTTATTAATAAACAGTAATAGAGTGGTAATAAAATATGGATGATGGGAATAATAATGATAATAAAGTAGTAGTAATAATAACAATAATAATAGTAAACTTACAAAATAAAAAAGAAGCAAAATTATAGTAAGAACTTTACTCTGGCCATGGTGGGGTGAGTGAATGTATGTAGCTCTTTTGAATGCAGAGGTCCGGTTTCAGATCCCGAATAGATAATGATTCAGCTATCTACAGATGGCGTATGTGAAGTCCCTTTGTACGATGTTGAGGGACTCTGTGTAGCACTGTGGAGCATTCATGTGGGGGTGGTCGATGCCGGGAGATGACAAGGTGTTCGAGGATGGAGCTGCTACTGTTCTTCTTTTCTCCCCTGGCAGGCTGACCAAGCTGGACGATGTCCCAGAATACGTTTGTGGACTTGACATTGCGTACGGCCGATATACCTTGCTCCACACGAGCAAATAAATTGATAAATACACACAGAAGTGGCCTAAAGCGGTATCTTATCCTTAAAGTTAGACTGGATTAACTGTCTTATGCAGAATGTGATACGTAAGGTGGCTGTTGGAAATGTCTTCTTCAGATATTCAGAAACGCGGTTTCTAAGAATTTCTGCTGCGGTGTCACCTTTGAATTCCAGGTTCATGAAGAGAGTTTTCTTAGGAACAGTTGCGATGTTTGGCGACGAAGGCTTCTCTTTCATGTTTTTGTCTATGAATCTTGGTGGATACCCGTTCTCTAGTAGGGTTTCACGTAATAAATTTAATTCTTTCTGTAGTTCTATTTCTGGGACTTGTCAACCGGATGTACCTTCACTCTTAGGTGAGTGATGACGTCCCCACTGGGACTCGAACCCAGCACCGATTATTTTGAATTGCCAAAGTGTTATCCGTTAAGTAATTCGGGTTACGAGAGCCACCTATTGTGCAACAGGTGTCAGTGAACAGGACGAAATGCACATCCTGGATTCCACGGCTGGCTACAATCCGCCAAATAACACCATATTTAATCCTTAGGCATCGTCAAGTTGTCCGTATTTAAACAGATATGTCTACAGATATTAAACGTTATGGTTCAATGTAATCGACCATAGGGGACAAACAAAATTAGCTTCAAATTCAATCCTGTTCATGAAATAATCGAAAAAGATCAGAATTTATGAGTACAAATGATCTTATTAATAGCAAGAACTAGTACGCCACTGAAAAGTTGTCAGTAAATTCCATCAAAGTATAACAGTGGAAGAAAGCGAACAGAGATTTATATCTAAAAATGGATTAAAATGTTCTACTGGAGAATTGTACGATCCCAAATGAGTTCAGCGATCGTTAGATGACAAGATATATATATGTATATATATAATCTAGATAAAATTTACTGAATCTTTCAAGACATTATTGGCCACTCATTGTTCAAAAGTTTGATCACTAACGCCCCTTGCTACATATTGGTTGATATGAGGAGTTGAATACCATCCATATCAACTAGTAGTGCTTGATTATCAAATCGCAGTGATCTAAACAACAAACTTTGTAAATAGCAAATCGTGAATTTCATCCAGTGTATTACCATTTCGTCCAAGTAGCTGACCAGAAATCTGGTATTATTATTATTGTTCCCTTGGGTTCCTAGTGGAACATAAGGCTTCAACTGCACGTCTCCACTTGCTTCTATCTTCTGCTATACTTTTCACTTGCATCCATGTTAGTCCATACTGTTTCAACTCCTCTTCACACGATCTCCTCCATGTGACTCTTGCACAGACGAACCACTCGCCGCTTTCCTTCCGGGTTCCACTCGAGCATTGGCCTGACGCACGATGACACCCAACGGCCTCCTCAGCGAGTGTCCAATCCATCTCCACCTTCTCCTGCATATTTGTTGGGCGGCGATTGGTTCTTGTTTTGTTTGTTCCCATAATTTCTTGTTGGTGATTCTTTCCGGCTATCTGATCTTGAGTATAGAACGAAGACAGTTGTTGATAAAGGTCTGCAACAGGCTGTTAGAAATATTCTTGGTGACCTGCCAAGTTTCTCATCCGTATAGCAAAAGACTGAATTGACGTTTGCATTGAAAATCCGAATTTTGTTGTTGATGCTGAGTGACGAAGATTTCCAGATTGGTTTCAGGTTGATGAATGTGTTTCTCGCCTTTGCGATTGTCGATTTGACATCCTCGTCCGTTCCTCCTGTAGTTGAGACATTGCTCCCTAGATAAGTGAATGAAGTAACCTCTTTCAAATCCCTTCCGTTGATGGTGATTGGCAGTGGATGTTGCTGTTGTTGTTGTTGGTTGGTTATTTTCATAACCTTCGTCTTGTCTATGTTCACCTGGAGTCCTGTCTTTGCTGCTTCTTCGTTCAGTTTGTCGGTTTTCGCTTGTAAGTCTTTGATTTTGTGTGACATGAAACATAAGTCATCCACGAAATCCAGGTCTTCTAAAATCTTCACGTCGGTCCAGGATATCCTTGTCTTCTCGTCTTCCACTGTCTGACGCATAATCCAGTCCACGCCAATTAGGAATATCATTGGTGTTAATAAGCCCCCTTGTCTGACTCCCGTGTTTACTCCAAATGCCTCGCTGAGTTTTCCGTTGTGCCAACTTATTCAGCTCTCTAAGCTTAGTCATAAAGGTGCTTACATCACTTCAATCTGGAAGGCACTAATAGTTGGTTGTGAACGCTATCCTACTACTCACATCAACCAATCTGTGGTATAAAGCAACCTTCATTGATGTTTGCTTTCATGATAGTCACTCATAGTATACAGCAGGTCACATGTTGTGGACTGAATAGTTTCGTTTTCCAAAAGAAACTGTGGTGAAATTTCATCTCTTCGAATAGTCCAAAATTGCAAATTGTGAATTAATTTCAGAATCAATAATGTGATCCAGTTAACGATCCTTCTACATACTGAGTTCACGTTCTAAAAAAAACCATCTCATAAACACGAGTAGATCACTGTTCGTGATAATATTGATGAGAAATGCTTAAATCAGCCCCATAACTGAGTTACAGTGTCCGAGTCAATAAAGTGAAGAGAAAACCTAGTAAATATACTTTTGAATAAAGCAAGAACAACTTGCTCTTCGGTGCAATCAAAAATCGATAGGTATCCTTCTCATGTTAACTTCAATTGTATATTCAAATTTACATGTATCTACGGGAGCAGTTACATTGGAAGAAGGGCATAACTACGATTTTCTCAACATGTACCAAAAAGCGTGTGTCTAAAGGGAACATATGCCTTAAACAGTACCACTACCAGATATCTCCTTGACACCGGTCATGAGGTGAACGTCGCAAGATCGTTCAAAATTATCAATAGGCAAAAGAGTTCAATTCTCCTCATTTTTGCCGAAGCGATCTACATCAAGCGCCTGAAACCTGATTTATTAGTTCAGAAAGAAGCAGTTATCAGTCTTTCTTTGACCTAGTAACTGGATATTTTCACCCACTTTCTCATATGATTACCTAAGACCGAAAGTTTCCATTGTGTATGATCATTATTGTTCAGAATAGTGTTTAATATTATATATAATTACTGCATGCATATACTGATTGATTGATTTTTGTTGAAAATGAAATCTGTGCAAGTATGTTAAAATTTATAAAAGAATGGATACTGATCAAAGAATACTCTTTTCGATAACTTCATCATCAGGCTCTACAGTTACATATACATTATAGTGAATGAATGAATTAGTGTTATGAACAACATTAATGCTGTTTAAATAACATCGAATCAATAATATTAATAGATTACAGCTCAGTAGCATCAACATAAAATAACCTGAATGTCAGAAAAATTAGGAAAGATAATATTACAAATTCATGAATTTTTAGTCTCTACTGAAGGCCGGCCAGGGCAGTAGTAGGGTCTGGACTAGTTTCTTTTGCACACAGAGCACTGGTTGTTTGAGGCGAATCGCAATAGCCTCTGCTGTTTGGAGTATGCTGTGCTTCGATGATTTTAGCAATTTATTAGGCACCCGGTAGATGATTGAGAAGGATTCTTCAATGTTGGCTGGCTTTGTGGCCGGTTTGCACCAGATGGTCCAATGCTGAACTGTTAATGGTTTTCACTACACTTTTACTTAGTCATAGTGGGAGATGTTCTCGAGCACGGAAAATCAAGTTCCTAGAGCAAAATTTTTCTGTAGATATACATTATATTAACTTTGGCTTGTCAGTAGCTGTTGAGAAGCCAACGAAATAAACGATGTGATGGTACCATTTTATTCTGCAGAAACTGTTTTTTCATGCTTTATTCAAATTCATTGAGGGGAATAAGCGTATGAAATAAACTTTTATTTTCCTAAGCTTTTTTTCACAGTATCTGACCTAATGCCTATGAGACTTGATTTAAAACCTAGTTAATTCACCATCAAGCTTTGATAAATTGGGAATCGTTTTGTGGTACAACTTTGAGATGTACTTAACCATTGATGCGTCTAAGGTCTGGTTGAATGAATAACAATCTTAGCTATAGAATCCTAATGAACCAGAGGTTTACCGTTGTCACTAGTCTAATTTACTTTTAGTGCAAAAATAAAGTATGAAAGGAAGGTTAATTTTTTTTATACTTCTGTGTACCACAAATCCTTGTGACCAGTCATGGCTTCACTTAATGCATGAGGGTATTTTTTAAACTTGAATAAATCGAATATCTGTGTGAATAATGTAAAGAGAAATTTCCAAGCTTGCAATTTCTACTTTTTAGCCTCCTTTCAGCTTATCAAAAGCAGAAAATTTCGGTGTATTACTGCGTCATTCAATACAGAATGCATCCGATTACTTAATAAATGTAAGTTAACTTGAAACTTAGTTATTCATATATTTCAAAGCTGATCATGTACATATAAGTGCCTTTAACGAAATAAACACATAAAGGTCAGCTGTAATCTGTTAATAGACGGTTATGAGTTCATAAACTGTCGTCTAAAGGATACCGACTGTCTCCAGAGTTTAAGATAAAAAGGACAGCGACTATAATCGGTAACAGTTAATTTGACCAGTGTATCCAGTGGTAGTTTGTTCATTAATCATAAATTCGTCAATACCACTAAATTCCTGAGACTTCTACAGTATGAATTGATTGGTCTTTCCCAGATTGTTGAAGCACTCGCTTAGTGGTGTTAAGACCAGTCGCCAATCCTCGACACTTCAAACTGCGTATATCAATTTGAGTGTGTTTGTGGAAACAAATACATAGGTCGCACGGAAAGAAGATTGTCTACTCGCATGATGAAGCATTTGCCAAAATGTTTGAAAACAGCTGAGTGCAAAGTGCCAAAATCCTCAATAACAAAGCATCATGTGGATTACGGGCATGATATCGACGCGGTCAAGTCATTCACCATTGTCAGCAGACAAAGAAACAAGAAGATGCTTGCAATTGCAGAGGCTTGTGCAATTCAAGTTTACAAACCAGGTCTTTGTGTACAAAAGGAGATGGTCATGACTCTGAATCTACCATGGTAATACGTTTTACTTATAATTCTACCTCTTATTATTATCATTCTTGATTCATTTAAAACTATCCTTTATCAGTAGGATTATTTTAACTCACTTCAACAATATTATTATTATTATTGTTATTATAACTATTACTATTGACATCCCTCTGGTTGCAATTCTTGTTAAATCGCATGGAGGATTTCATCATGAGCTGACATCAGTTAGAGAACCACTGGAAAACCAGCTGGGAGTACTGGACAGCCAGCTGTTTCGTCCTAGTTTGGGACTCTTCAACAGTACGCACCCACCGGGATTCGAACCCAAGACCTTCTGGTTACAAGGCGAGCTCGTAGACCATTGAGCCACTGGGACCCGATCCAATGGTCCTTGAATTCTAACTTGTGCCAATTCACGACATAGCGCGACCATTTCGCAATGTCTTCTTCGATGAGTAACTGTCCTCATCTTCAACCTGCTGCAACCTACTGGTCACGGCTTCCCACTGGAACCCCAGGTTAACTGCCTGAATAGGGCCAGTCACTAGTGAGCATCAGATTAATTTGCAAGTATTGGTTTTGTAGGGATTTGGTTAAATCCTCTAATGTCTAATTGTTTATCTAAGTGATGTAATTGAAGCGTGATGCAATTTATCTTGATTTTGATCTCTCATACTCTCTCTCCCCTTATCTAATTGAACATGACCTGGAAAAACATTCGCACTTATCAGTCCTATATCTCCCAATGTTATTTTAAAAGTATATATTTCGGGAATGTAGAGTATTCAACTGACGAGTTCTACCGAAATTTGAGTAGTTTCCAAATTACTTTGCGGTCAACGCTGTCGAAGGCCTCCTCAAAGTCTATAAAGTTGAAGTAGAGGTTTGATTGCCATTCTATGCTTTGTTCGATGATGATGCGTAGTTGCAATTTGGTCAGAACATGATTTGCCTTTCCTGAATCCAGCTTTTTGTGGTCGGAATTCTGCATCCAGTGCGTCCTTTATTTTCTCCAGGATGATGCGACTCAGAATTCTACTTGGCGTCGACAGGAGCATGATTCCTCGCCAGTTCTTGCAGAGTCCTAGGTCGCCCTTCTTTGATAGTTTCACGGGGTAACCTTTCCTCCAGTCAGTAGGCGCCTTTCCCTCCTTCTGGACCTCCTTCTGGAGTCAACATATCTGCTGTCGTCTCTGGGTCCGCTTTCAGTGCTTCAGGGGGTATCCCATCTGGTCCAGCTGCTTTTCCAACTTTCAGAAGCTTGATTGCATTCAAAACTTCAGCTTTCGTCGGAGGATTGGTGTCGACTTGTAGTAGTGTACGCGATGTTGTTGGTATTTCTGGATGGGTTGCCGGTGGTGGTCGGTTCAAGAGTCCTTTGAAGTGATCCGCCCATTGTTTAATCTGTCTTTCTTTCTTGGTAATTGGGTTCCTTTGGTTGTCTTTTATAGGTTTCACTTGTGTTGATCTCTTCCCGGATAGAGACTTGGTTATCTGATATAGTGTCCTCAGGTCCCTTTTGCCTGCTGCCTTCTCAACTTCTGTGGTCAGATTGTCGTAGAATTGTCTTTTGTGCTTCCTAGCACTCTTCTTCACTTCTTTGTCCAGTGCTGTGTAAGTTGAACTCAGCGTCTCCTTCTCTTGTCTGTCTTTGCATTGAATCATTTTCCATTTCACGGTCCTCCCCTAGACACCTGAAGAATATGACATTAAAACCAACTGATGACTTGAAAATATCTTCCACATTGTGATAGACACAAAAGTCATACTGGGTGAAACAATGACCAGAAGGGCGACTATGACAACAACAACCGTAACAAATTTTAATAGATAAAATACATGGTATCTTATATGTATAAAACCTCAGAAATCTAAGCCATAAGTAGACCAATCAGAACTGTCCGATAAGGTTATTATGTCAATGTGTGCATAGATAATAACTTCATGGCTAAGAAAGAAGCTTGTCTGTCCTAATAATCTTTCTTTTCTCACTGGTTCTCGATTACAGGACTACTAGAAAGTAATTTGTGGGTATGGGTACGCTCCACCTATGATAGCTCTTGAAGGAAATATGAACGGAAACACTGATTTTGCCACTTGTTGATGAGTGATATCAAGCATGAAACGTTAGTTTGTTACTTCCAGGTTAATGACCTCTTCTAACAACAAATGTGTGTAGTGTGTGCAAAACCTGAAAACTTGTAAAGCTCAGCTACTTTCAAATTCAAAGCTATTAAGAAAAATGTGTATAGTATTATTTGATGTAGAGGCCTGGCTGAATTAGAGAAAATCTTATGGGAATACCCGCCTTTATCCACAATCTGTCTCTATTAGGTTTTCAAGTGTGTCAGTTGAACTGTGTCAAAAATGTGAATATGACATTTTAGCTCATTCGAACAAGAACGAGAGAAAGAAAACTCGTATAACTGTGTAGCTTACAAAGCGATGAAGCAAAATATTTTCTTTCCATGGTACGTCAGGTTGTGAGACAACCTGAAATTTTACTCTAAGTGTTACGTCGATTTAGATGCAAAAAGTGCTTAGTAGTTTCTCACCTTCATATTTGTAACATTTAAATGCTGCTTTCTGACTAGATTATGATTTGGTTAGGACATAAGACTATGAAAAATTAGATCGTTTACTGAAGTCTAAAATTAACCTATTAATTAAAAGTTTTTTTTCCTTCACGTTCCTCCAGTGAAACATAGGGGTTCAAGCTAGTTGACTTGAAGTTTTTGTAGTAGTGTTTATTTTACACGATGGGTTTGCTAGCCTCATGCCCAACGTTTCCTGTCTACCAGAATTATTTCTGGCTCAGCGAGGTAAAGGAGTGCGTCGACCGGGAATCGAACCCCGGACCATGTGCACGGTCGGCGAGCGTCCTAACCGCTATGCCATTGACGCGCAAATTAAAACAGTTACTGAAGAGAAATTATTCGTGTGCTTAAAAAGCAAGAAGAAAATAATTTGTGCTCGAAATGTGGTCATCAGTAAATATTACTGTACAAAACGCTGTGTGATTTATCAAAATAAAAAGCTTATCCGCAATTGGAGTTATACTCTACTACAGTGTCCAAGTTTTATACTTATATCAATTTAGCAAGTTAATTTATAGTGTTATAACTGAGTTTAACTGAATAAATCCGTTGCTACATTGTTACGTCTGTGCCTGTGAATTACTACAACGGTAATGAACTCGACTGGTACGCTAATACGTCTATTTGTCCATTGTACCTTCCGATTCACTGAGCAACGCAAATATCGAAAGAGAAAAGCAGGCCTGTGACTGTAAGATATTGTATTATATCTCCATTAGGAAATAAAACATCATATTTACATATTTAATTTATCACATTAGAGTTGGCTCACAACCTTGAGAATGGACTTTTCTCATTGGCTGGAAATTTCTATTGTGATTGGTTGGTGATTCAATAAACATCAAGGTGAGGCAAAAGACGATGAATCGGTCACACACCAAAATCACACGACTTTTGAGAAAGGATGATATACTACCTTATGCTAGGTCCTATCATTTACAGCAAAGCCCTTATATAACTAAAGAATGATGTATGCTTGTTTCAGTCAAGAAATTTGTTAAAAATAAATACTGGTTATCAAGTTTAGTGAAATATAAGGCAGGATGTGTTTCAGTAGTCCGATGGTAGAACGCTCACCAACAACACATGTGGTCTAGGGTTCGATTCCCAGGTGACGCAGTTCTTAACCTCATCTGGTCTACTAGTTGATGGTTAGCTCGGAGAATAGTGAAGGTCGAGTGCGTGAAGGTCTAGTGGACCCAACAAAGAAGTCATCTGAAAAACACTCATGTTTATTTCTACTTCCCTCCTTAGATAGTTGTCACAAGTATGATTAGGAATTTCCTCGATTAAAAGGATGGATCCAAAATACCACTCCAGACACCATGGCGTTTAATGATTGTCATCTGAAAAAAATAAAAGGGATAAATCGGCAGCTGTTGCCTTCCTTTCTCCTAAAAGTAATTTCCTCAAACTGATTAATATATCCTTTATATTCAGAACAAAACTGTGGTGAGCTAATGGTTAATTAAAGTTTACACAGTTCTAAAAATGTAAACAGTAACCTCTGACATAGGCTGTTAAACGTATCGTTTTTTTATGAATAGTTTACGCTCATACTTGGATGTTTGAAATGAAAATTAAGTAGTGGAGAGCTTTTTTGTAAATTTTAAACAGAAGCAATTTATCACTTTTCTAACAGTAACTAACGTAGTAAATGATCCTGGATCGAATATTTTGCCATATAATATGATCATATAACAGTACTGATCCCTAACCCTGAACAACTGTATAATTGGACATAAAAAGGTTAGATACTGAAGTGCTTGGTCTCTGTTGACACGTTCACTCCTAGTACAGACACTTCTACGATGTCTGAAGAATAATACGATGCTAATTAATTTCATATTAGTTTGTTTATTAAATATATCAAACTTAGTGTGAAACAGTATTATTTACTGGATGACGTTTCGAACAAAATTTATTACTGTTCGTAATCATATCAATTATAATCACACGACTTCGAAACTTCAGTTTTTATTAACGAGTTGCTAATTAGTTGATCGTGGCTATCGGTGGAATCCAGAATGTGCACTTCGTCATATTTAGGATCCATCATCTGGATATACCAGTATCTCTATTCAGTAATGATATTCCTTCCAAGTAGAATTCAGATCCAGCACCAGTCCTTTTAAAAGCCAAAGTATCGTCTACTGAAATTGATTTTATAGAAAAATAAGGAATTCGTAGGTTGATTTTCAAATAAAATAAGAAACTCCATTATGGATAAAATTTTATTTTGATAAGTCACACAGTGTTGTACAGTAATATTTATTGATGACTACGTTTCTATCGCGAATTACTGCTCATAATCATATCACGGTACTCACATAACTTTCTAACTTCGTTTATATATACGAGTAAAACTTGACAAGACATTTGAATAAAATCAGTATGAGACTTACGTGAAACAGAATGGAAGATAAAGTACAGCCGGAAATAATGCTACAGTTATCAATAAGACAATAGAGTGGGAAATAAGACTAGTGTTGGAGGTCAGTGAGATGGGAAATAAGATGTTTTGTATAGTAAAATAAATAAATAGCTTGTTAGAATGTTATAATGTGAATTGAATACGTGTTAGCAATATTTATCATCCTCTTTGTTAACTGATAATAATATCTTCCATATCTCTGGTATTTGCGTTGAGTCATTTCTGTTGCATGTGCTGGGTGTAGACTCAATAAACCGGGATTCAATAGTCAACCTTTCTCCATCTACCGGTATTACTTCTTAGAATTTTAACCCTCTCCCACCTAAATGTGTTGTTGTGTGTTAACGCATGCAGTGCAGTTGCTAAGTTTTTCTGTAAATTACTTATCTTCGTCGGATCAATCATTCTAACCTTAGCTAAATTCTTATTTTCTGACAGGCAATCTCACTACTCTTGATCTACTAGTTTGACCTATGTAGTTGACCTCACTCACAGTCATTGCAGGGTACTTTGTGAATTATATTATTTTGTTTAATTGAGTCTACTGGCTCCTTTAGCCTACAGAGCTTTTCCTATCTGAGTGAGCTTGTAGGTTTGAATGCCACCCTAATTCCTGCTTTATTGAGAATCCTACGTAGGGTCTCAGATGTCCCCTCCTTATATGGTATAACAGTAGATGTCTTATATTCTTTCCTATTTATGTTATCATCACTACTTTCACCATTATTTTTATTTTGCTTTTGACTTTTTTTGACATTCCTGATGAATTTTATAGGATAGTTATTTAACAACAATGCCTCTTCTTCTCTCTGTTTCATTTCATCGTTTGTCTTTTATGTGCTACTTAGTGCTACTGCTCTGTTTGTTAGACACTTAACTAAGCCTACCTTTACAGATAACGGATGAGATGAATTAAAGTTTAATTACCGATTAGAATGCCTCTGTAGATTTCTTAACCTTACTCATTACTGAATCTACAGGTTTCTTAGTTTCTTCATATGGACAAAAGAAACAACTAAAAACGTCAAACTTTTGGGCTATGACAAAATGTAATTCAGTGTTAGTCTTTATTTCAGGTATGCCAGACAGCAAGAGAATATTACTTACCAGACAATACCGCATTTAGTGAATGGCTAAATAAATAGGTCAACAAGCAATTATCAAATCTAACTAATCGGATACTATTTTGATGCAGTCATAAGTCTGCTATCTTACCAAAGTCACCATCTTTAATCTTTGGAATGTCCCAACGCATTATTCATCAAAATTATGAAACACTGAGAAAATTCACATGAGAGGGTTAGGTCGAATTCTTTTATAGCATATTTTCAGATAGCATCAATAACTTTAAGAACGCTTGCATATACCATAATCGAATTTTATAAATATCTATTAATAATAATAATATTCAGTCTAATCTCTACCCATAAACAAAATTTGTCGGTTGAGAATTACTCATTTTGAGGTGACAAGTCACCGCAGTTTCTTTTGAGAATCAAAAATTTAGTGATTTAGCTAATACCATAAGTGAGAATCAAGAGAATAAGCGAAATAGCTTGATAATTTATACTACTGATTGGTTGCTTTAAGTAGTTTGGGCAAGTAGCTAGTCAGAGTTTGGGTGCTATGCACTGATCGGCTGCCTGAACTGAATCGAACCGAATGAGTCGCTGATGAACCCAGTTCCTAATGAACGGAATGGTCTTCTTGTGCTCAGGTCAACTTTATCTAACTGACAAGCACTACTTGTCACGTTATACATAAAAAATATTTTGTTACATTGATTTTTTTTGTATTATATTTCTTATCTTTTCGAAAGGTGAATAATTCACTTGGAAGTAAACTGGAATTAATGAATTCAGAGAAAGGCTATCAGTTTCACTTACTGCTCGATGCAAAGTTGGACAGGAATAAGAAGAAGACGTTGAAAACAGAACTACTACAATTTCTTGATTGTATATTAATTGAAATAACTAAAAACATGGTAATTTGTTGAATTTTATACAGTTTTTGTTTTCTATTCTGTTAGTAATTTGTGCAAGAATTTTGCTTTCCCTTTGATAAACTTGAATAAAATAAGACTCAAAAGTAATTAAGCAGGTTAATATGTTATCATTTTATTTTATCAACTTCGTCTGGTTCACTAATTCACTAGTTTACCACCCCATCCTAAACTCGGAAAAAGAGGGAAAGTGATACGTAGAACTAGCAACCTCACCCCGAAAAATCAATCCAATAACTACACAAATTTCCTTCAAAGTACATAAAAGATTATGAAAAATAGAATTATTCGTTTCACTGGAATCGAAGAGAAGATACCGTAACGACAGAAGACAAGGATCAAACAACAGATTGCTTATTTATAAAGTCAACAGATATTTATAGATTTTTATGCGCATTATTATTAGCGTTATTGTTAGCAGAGAAGCAATGTCTCCTGATTGGTTGTTTTCTTGCTGAAGGTGATTCTGTCATCTCTTTGTGGCCGTTTCTTAGACAGTCTGGTGATATATCTGCTAATCGTATCCGCCCACGCTAAATCTGCTGTGATTGGTTGGTTAGTTCCTCAAGGTTAGGCTTTGTTCTTGTTTTTTCTCATGACCCCGATTTGGGACGTAGACATTGTCATCAACTGTTGTTTACAATTTCGGCTTGCATACAGCTCTCACCACAAAACGGCGCAGGTTGGTGGTGGCCTTCGGGAAGCCAGTGAGCCAATGTGTCCTCTTTCGATGAAAGTAAAAACTTCATACATTTGGTTCCCTTGATAAATTTCGATAGACAAAGAAAGACCAGATTTACAGTATAAAATGATATCATTCTATTTCACAGGTTCTCATCAGCTGCAAACTACCTGAAATTACAACGGTTATAATTAATAACATTTCATACTTCATTGTTTGAAAGGTAATACAGAAAGCATTATAAGATAAACGCATCCGGAATATAAGGATTAAAATTTTTGTAGTTTAAGTTACCATCAATTTATATACTATCAAACTATGAAAAAAGGAAGGAAAAAAGGGGGCGTGAGAGAAGACAGAAAACAAAAAAATCTAATAAACAGTGTCAACATGGCAACTCAACAAGGTCAAAGTTCATCAATTTGAAAATTTGCTTAGTGAGTTGAACTCACTAGTGTCTATTAGTAATCAGTGTAATGAAAGTGATATGGTTACCAAGGGAGTGAGAGATTGACTACACTCTCTTTCTGTGTGCATAAGTTTTGTCTGAGACGTTTGATTGCTGTAATTGCTTCAGCAAATTGTAGTAGTTTCGCTGTCCTTTGTATGTTTAATATTTTGAAGGATTTGGAAATCTCAACAAAATGGCCTGTATCCACAAGGTGTCTGGTAATTGCACTTTGTAAATATCTGCTTCCCTTTTTAAGCATAAGTTTCTCGGAATGTGCTCTGAAAACCGGATAGAAGCCCTTCTTTCTGTCCTTCCGATGTACTTGCTGCCGCAGGTGCACGTAAATTTATAAATGCAGTTGGAGGTAACATCAGCAGGGTATTTATCCAGTTTCGATTGGCTTATAGAGCATGTAGTTCTATATAGCGTCACTAGATTGGCTGCAGGGAAGCATCTCTTGACTGCTCCTTTCATCCTTTTTTTCACTCTTTTGCGATACTGTTTCTCCTTTGTATGGGAGGCAAATGAATACTTTCTTCTTTTCAACTGTTGGGTACTTCTCTTTCTCATCTCTTTCTTTGCTGTACTTTAGGATAAATCGTTTTGGATACCCGTTCTCCTAAAGGCATTTTTCAACAAAGCTTAATTCTTCTTCTATCTTGTTGGGCGAACATAACTTCCTAGCCCTGTCGTACAGTGTCCTTACTAATCCCCGCTTATGGCTCATAGGGCAGAAGCTGTTGTAGTGAAGGTATTGTCCGGTCCAAGTTTCTTTTCTGTAGATGGACTTTTCGACTGTCCCATCGTCTCTTCTTTTTACATTTAGATCTAGGAAATTGAACTCATCGTTGTGTTCGTATTCCATGGTGAATTTAATGTAAAAATAATCATTGGGATATGAAATCCCCACAGTATAATCGAAGCCGGAGATGTGCTGCTGAAGCTGTACGTTCCACTTGGAACCCTAGGGAATAATAATACTATTACTTCATCGCTTTATGTCACTCACAGCCAAAATGGTTTTAATATTAATATGCCAAGTATTCACATACCTTAGTTTTTAATATTGAGATGAAGGCCATTAGGACTACGTAGTTAAATAGTGGAATAGAAAGGATAAAACATGTTAGTAAGCCTATCAGTATACACAGAAAAATGTCAGCAACATTTAAGTCGGTATAAGAATAGAACCTGGGCACTGGTGGAGCAAAATTCCAAAAAAGGGTAAATCTATTTGATAAGATAACACAGCGCTACAGTTTTATTTATTCATGGTGCTTCGACAACAGTTTATTACTCATAATCATATCAAGTCACTCACATGTTTTAGATTTAAACATGAATGAAAGTTGGAAATTGATTATTAATATTATTATTATATTATTGTTCCCTTGGGTTCCTAGTGAAACATAGGGATTCAACTGCACGTCTCCACTTGCTTCTGTCTTCTGCTGTACTTTTCACTTGCATCCATGTTAGTCCATACTGTTTCAATTCCTCTTCACACGATCTCCTCCATGTCACCCTTGCACCGACGACCAACTCGCCGCTTCCCTTTCGAGTTCCACTCGAGCGTTGGCCTGACGCGCGATGTCACCCAGCGGCCTCCTCAGAGAGTGTCCAATGCATCTCCACCCTCTCCTGCATATTTGTTGTTGAGCGATTGGTTCTTGTTTTGTTTGTTTCCATAGTTTCTTGTTGGTGATTCTTTCCGGCCATCTGATCTTCAGTATAGAGCGAAGACAGTTCTTGATAAAGGTATACCTGCAACCGGTTGGAAATATTCTTCATGACCCGCCAAGTTTCTGATCCGTATAGAAGAACTGAGTGACTTGACGTTCGTTTTGAAAATCCGAATTTTGTTGTTGATACAGGCTGAGTGACGAAGATTTCCAGAATGGTTTCAGGTTGATGAATGTGTTTCTCGCCTTCCCGATTCTCAATTTGACGTCCTCGTCCGTTCCTCCTGTGGTTGAGACAATGCTCCCCAGATAAGTGAATGAAGTGACCTCTTTCAAATCCCTCCCGTTGATGGTGTTTGGCGCTAGATGATGCTGTTTCTGTTGTTGGTTGGTTGGTTATTTTCTTAACCTCCGTCTTGTCTGTGTTCGCCTGGAGTCCTGTCTTTGCTTCTTCTTCGACCAGTTTGTCAGTTTTCACTTATAAGTCTTCGATTTTGTGTGACATCAAACATAAATCATCCACGCGCGAAATCCAGGTCTTCTAGATTCTTGACGTCGGTCCAGGATATCCCCGTCTTCTCGTTTCCCACTGTCTGACGCATAATCCAGTCCACCACAATTAGGAATATCATTGGTGATAATAAGCACCCTTGTCTGACTCCTGTTTTACTCCAAACCCTCGCTGAGTTTTGATTAGAAGAGTAAAACTGGGAACAGTTATTATAAAATAATAATAATGGTGTCGACTTAGAAACAAAATAACTGAGGTTTCTGTGAGTATTTTGCATGTATAGGTGTTAAAACTGTATCAAGCTGACAGGGGACCGACAAAATAAATTGATATTATTTGTTATTGCCCCGTTGGGTTCCGTGTGGAACATAGGACTTCAACAGCACATCTCCGTTTTGTCATATCCTCTACGGTCCTCTTTAGCTGGCAATATGATTGCCCATAGTCTCTGATCTTCTCCTCGCACGACCTTCTTCAAGTCTTTCTCACACCAAAGCTCAACTCGTTGTTTCCCACTCTGGTTTCAATCAAAGAGCTGCTTTGCGTATGACGTCACTATTGAAAAGTCTCACCAAGCTGTGTCCAGTCTATCTACGCTTTCTTTGGCAAATTTATTAAACAAAAGGTTCTTGGTTGGTTCGTCCCCAGGGTTTCTTATTGCTAATTCTTTCTGGTTATTTGATCTTCACCAGAGAGCGAAGGTAGCTGCTGACAACAGTCTGCAGTGGAAATGCTGTTGATGATGCATCAATTTTATGACCCATGTAGGGAGTGTTAAAAACCCGAATATTGATCTTAATGTTGAGTACAGAAAATTCTGAAACTGATTTCAGAGTGATGACGGTCTGCCCTGTCTTTCCAATTCTCGTTCTGAAATCTTCATCCATGCTCTCAACCACAGCTGAAACAGTGCCGCCTGAAGAAGTGAAAAAAGTGGCCTCTTTCGAATTTCTCTCACTCACTGGTGCTTGTTGTTGTTGTTGGCTGGTTGTCTTCCTCACCTCCATCTTCTGTGTGTTCACCTGAAGTCAAAATAAACTGATGATATTATATTATTCAACCTACTGTATTGTTCATGCTTTTTTTTCTATTGAAATATGTTAATTTCCTTACACTTGACAGACTTAATAGAATAGGTTCTGACTTTTGGAAAAATAGTAATTTTAAGGCAAAAAGAATGTACTTTTTGCATACTTTAAAACAGGATAGTCATTCTTAAAGAAGAGGTAAGAATATTTCTTAACAGAAACAGTAGACGAATTTATATTATTTACTTTAATAAAACAGTAGTATTAATTTCACTATTTATTCGTCAAACTTTCATCATTGAACCCTGTAAACAATTGTCATTGTTCTATTGGGTTCTGAGTGGAACATACGGATTCAGAGATATATCATCTTTTCATTCTGTACTTTATGATTATGAGCAATACTTTGTGCTCGAAACGTCATCAGTTAATATTACTGTAAAACACTGTGTGATTTATCGAAATAAAATCTTATCCATAATGGAGTTATGATCTACCACAGTGCCCAAGTTTTATACTTAGACTGTATGGTTTTTTAAACAGAACTTCGATCATTTAAATCAGTTTTTTAGATTCTTCCGTCGATTGACTGAGCCAAAGTGCTCGGTCTCAGGTTGACATACCGGCTTCTTGTGAAGATGCTTCGAAGATGTCTGGGTATGTAATTAGAAGTTAATTGGTTGTTGGTGACTTGCAGTGAAATCCAAGATGCTCACTGAATTAAATAATTAATGTGATCAGTTGCACAAGACGTGTCTGTCGTGACCCAAGTGCTTTGATGGGTAACGCCTTGGCATTCGAAACTTTGGGCACTGGGTTCGAGCCTCGGTGGGAACGTTATCATTGACTCACTAAGGAATGCAGGTACATCCAGATAACAAGTCCTGAATAGGACGAATCGCGCATCCTGGATTCCACTGCTAGTTGCCATCCATCAATTAACTTCTAGATCTACTATCTCCTATAAGCTTTCACTTCCTCCTGACACAAAATCCACCATTACACTCCTGCATATCTCGACTCTTCATTTCCGACTAATATTTAATCTGGAGCCTGGTGAGTGAAGTTACCCAATGGTCTCTTCAGCGTATGTTCATCGCATCTCCATTTTCTGCATATTTTTTCGGTGGTGGATTGTCGATTGTTTCGTTGTCAGAGTTCCTTATTTATTATCCAACCCCACCGGCCATCTGAACTTCAGTTTTGAGTGAAGGTAGCTCTTGATGAAAGTCTTCAGTTTTCTGTTTGAAATGCTTTTGTAAAGCATTTAGCAAGTCTCGGAACCAAATAGAGGCGATGACTTGACATTCGTTTTGAAAATCGAAACCTTGTTCTGTATCCTGATTGCAGTAGATTTCCACACTGATTACAGAGTGATAAATGTCTGTCTTGACTTTCCAATTCTGTTTTTGACTTCCACACCGGTGTTGTCGCCTGTAGTTGAAACGATGCTTCCTCGGTAAGCGGAAGAAGTGACCTATTTCAAATTTTTCCGTTGATTGTAACTTGTGCCTATTATTTTTGCTTGGGTGCTTTCATCCTGTTCATCTTCTCTATGTTCACCTGAAGTCCTGTATTTGCTGCCGGCCTCTTCTGTCAAACTATTGGTTTGCGTCTGTAGATATTCGAGTCTGTGTGATATTAGATATAAATGGTCCGTAAAGTTTGGGCTAAAAGAAAGTGACTTCACCTCGGAAAATCAATCCAGTCGCTAAAGAACCGTCAAAGCACAGCAAAACTATTAAAGAGACAAATCAGGTGCGATATGGTGGTAAACATTTCCAGCTTTAATTGTGGGTTTTTCTCTCTGCAGTTCTTTTTACCAATCGAGCGTATGTATCTTAGAGCCAAGTTCGTTACACTCATGACCGTGTCATTTTCAGTGCTTTTTTTGATCAGACAACGAATTCCACATAATATTCCTAAATATTCGTAGCAAAATCTTCTGTATAGTCATCTGTGAAATACAGCTGTCCTTTTGTATCTAGTCCATTGTTTTAGTTGTTACATTTTGACATTTGAAACAACTAATAGCTTCTATGAATTTCGAAAAAAACAATAAGACGACGTAATTTATCTGAGTCCTGTTATATATTTGCGCAACACATTTCGAAAAATATGATCTCAACACATGTACATGTTATAAGGATATATTTGGAAATAGTAAAGTGTTAAGGGGTGAGAGGTTAGATTTATCTCTGCTCTAAGAAGGACGTATATACCAAGCTACCCTACATGGGTGATCACAGCAACTTGGTAACTAGACAAAGTGTTGATGCTGCGGTTAAAAAGACGTTTAATGTACCTCATATCCGAATATATATATCAATTTTAGCCCGTAGAACATATGAGAAATTATTTCACATGCCATTGTACCTACCAATTTAAATGTACCTTTAGTCACATTCATACAGGGATCCACAGCGTATCCCTAAAAAGCTTCAGAAGCAAATCTAAATCCCTGAACCCAATAGTGATGAAAACAGGTGACTCACCTCTCCAACTTCGAAACATATTATAGATATAGGGCATAAAATACCATCCCTCCCTCTTCCTAACTCCATTCTGGGCAGTTTTAGAATGACATTTGGAGCTCAGTCTACGCATGATTATTTTCATGTTTACTAATGCATACATTATCCTTGAATCCGTTTTTTTCAATTGCTTTTCATTCTAAAAATTAGCCCACCATGAATTCTGTTGCATGTTTGGAAGTGATGTATCCTAGAACTGGCATATTTTAGCATCTAAATTTGTGATTTTATATTGTAACGTTTCCCTGTCTTCCCATGTTTGTAGATATATTACTTATCTCAATAGTTACCACGGTATTTGCAGTTGATTTTATAGTCTCCATAAGTTTTCGAGATGCATCTGATCGCTTTCGTTGGAGAAGTCATATGTAATTTATTTCTACAATTATCTGTTGGTTTGGTTCATGACTTGGTAGACACCTGTTGGTGCTACTAAACGTTGTTCTTGGAGGTCAGTGAAGTGTGGTTGTTGCTTCGTAGGGGTTTACTTTAAATGGGCTTGCGTTTATTTACTTAAATCATTGATTTCCTGACATCTAAGGATGCCAAGCCACTATTTTATTTCAGGTCTTTTATAAAGTGTATAAAAAGAATTTTGTGAATGCATACTATTACTTCACCTGTCTCGATATTTATATAAATGTCATTTACTTATCTAATCCATAATTCTTCTGTAGTAACTGATAGATTTACACTTCAAGAATGGTTCCACTAATTCTTACCCAGTAATCCCTGAAATGAGGGATATTAGAAATGTTATTTTTGCTGGCTTATATCGTTATTATTATTCCCATGGGTTCCATTTGAGACGTAGGGATTCAGCAGTATATGGTCATTTTAGCTCCAAAATTGCCTATAAGTTTGCGTTGCCCCCTAACACAATCTTCTATACGTTACCATCAGACCTAGGCCTAACTCGTTGCATAGTTTACTAATTGGCATTATGCCCATAAAAGCAGATAAGGTTAGGCGTGAGGCTAGTGACCTTACTCCGGAAAATCAGTCTAATCACTGCAGATGCTTCAAAGCTGGTTAATATACTTGTCCAACAAACTGATACATTACATCAGAACAGTCTTGTTGTCGTTCAACAGATCTAATGGATTTCTTGAGTCAAATTTATGTTTATTAAATTGAATGCAGCAACAAACAAAGAAAGGAAAATCGTCTTCTTTGAATCTGGTATGTACCACAAACTACCGTCAACACTTAGATTTTCTAGTTAGAAGTTATTACATGTTACATAACTAGGAAAAGTTACTTTTGGGTGCATTAAAGTGTCCGAAGATGGGTACCTCTTAAGATATTATTGTTATGATTATTTTTGTTAACATTTTACAATATACCGTAGTTGGTTATATATATGTCAATTTTTTTTATTGTAGTCAACAAAGCCGTTATTTGCCATTACAAGGAATTCAACGGCATATATGATGCTTTTAAAAGGTCAAGTTTATCCTAAAAACTACTTCATTACACTAGAATTGGTAGGTGTACGGTTGTTTTTTCATTTGTGTTCCTTGTTGGGACATAGCGCTTTATTCTTTGAAGTTTCAGTAGAGGTGATTTTATTTTTAAGAGGCGAAATTTCCACTAAAGGATGGATTTATTTTGTGAAATCACACAGTGATACAGTATTATTAACTTACTAATGACGTTTTCAGCACAGTTGATAGCTCATAATCATATCAGAGCATTCAGATAAATTCCAAACTTCGCTTATATAATTCCATTATTCTTATCTCTAGATTTGATTGATAGTTATATTTTCCATATCTCGGGTATTGGTCATGAATCTTTCCAACTGTATGCGTTGGGTGTAGATTATATGAACAAAGATTGACCAATCAACCTCTTATCCTGCCTGCTTACATTACATTTTACAATTATAACTCTGTCCCACCATATTGTGTAAGTGTATGCTGATGCATGCGTTGCGACTGCTGAGTGTTTTTCTAAATCACTCATCTTCATGGGGTCAGTTATTCAACACTTAGCTAAATTCTTATGGCACAATTAATCTGCCTATCCTCCATCTACTGGTTTAACCTATGTAGTTAAAGTCACAGTCCTTGCTAGGTATTGTGTAAATTACATTATTTCGTGTAATTGCGTCAGTAGTATTCCTTAGACAGAGGGCTACTAGGAAACAAGCATAAAATGGACCCACACAAAAAACTTGGAGGATCTAGACTTAACCTATGTGATATGTCTGATTTCTCACAAAATGAAAATATGCTAGTGAAAAGAAACAAGTTGACAGAAGTAGCATCAAAGATATGCATTCAGGTGAACACAGAGAAAACAGAGGTGATGAAGATTCCTGGTCAACAGCAACAACAACAGACAACAATCAGCATGAATGGGAGAAATCTGGAAGAAGCAACCTCCTTTACCCACCTACCTACCTACCTGGATAGCACTGTTTCAACTACAGGCGGATGGAACTGATGAGGATATCAAAGCGAGGATCTGGAAAGCAAGGCAAGCTTTCATCGCCCTCAAGTCTGTGTGGAGGTCGACAGTACTCCGCATGAAAAACAAGATGTGAATTTTCAACTCCAATATGAAGTCAGTGCCACTTACCATACGGATCAGAGACTTGCACTGCGCGTCATGAAAAACACTTCGAACAAACTACAGAAACTCATCAACAGCTGTCTTCGATCAATACTACTCAAGATCAGATGGCCAGCCAGAAAACATCAGCAACAGGGACCTCTGGCAAATGGGCGAAACAACACAGCAGAAACCGATTGTGCATCAAATATGCAGGAAGAAATAGAGGTAGACTGACAATACTCTGAGGAAACCACCAAGTGAGTGACATCCTACACCAGGTCATCGCTCTAGTGGAACCCGAATTGGCAGCGGCGAGTTGGTCGTCAATGTGAGATTGACATGGAGGAGGTCATGCGAAGAAGAGATGAAAGCATGCGAGCAGACATGCAGCGAGGTGAAAACGTTGGTAGAAAACCGAACGCAATGGGGACTTGCGGCTGGAGCCTTGTGTTCCTCTAGGAACTAAAAGAAACACTAATAGTAATGAATGCCCCGTTAATTATTTCCCCCCTTACTAATACTGTTCTATATGCTGAGAATCCCACACTGTACCAAATTTACTGCCTGGAATAAGGCCACTATTATTATACCTGTTTACATACAAAATTTGAAAAAAAAACACTCTAGTCACACCGCATTTATCACTGGTAGTAAACTAAAGAGTAATTTAAGGTCACTAGCTGACTAATTATTTCGAGTATTGGCAGATTCAATTTTTGTTAACTATGTCGGAAACATTATGAATAAAAAATAACAGTTTCATTGGTTGATGTGATGTAAAATCAGTGCTACTGCAATCAATATATTTGAAACTCTGAGAAATTACAAAGAAGGCAAATTTACAGGTGAAAGAAGAATTAATTCTTTGACAGGTTACTAGTTAGTAAACAGTGTCGGGCACGAAACCTAGATCCAAAATTTCCCGCCGATCACCTACACTCATGAAATAAATAACTACATAGAGAATAGTGAGAATTTAATACATCTTGAGAATTACAAAGAGTGATTGCATCTGCATAGAGTGTGCTACTGACAATATTTATCGGTAGTATTTTCGGAGACCTTCATCAGCAAAAAGATAAAAAATGGCGGAGAGATATTTTCGACGTCAGAGACAGCAAGTGAACCAGTGTTGCGGTAAAACACGAAAGAGACGAAAAGAAGACAAAGAAACACAATACGAAGGGTAGAAATAGCACAATAGGCAAGATCCGCGCAAATGGAAATTTTCAGATAAGGTGTGCATAATTTCATCATGTGTGCATATCACATTCCTAATGAAAATTTCGTTACCAAGTCTCTTGTTTTATACCATTACATCTGTGCCACTGACAACAATTTTTAGCCACATCACCAACAGTTACAAGCCACTGGTCCTTTATGTCTCAAGAATCCTAGCCAGTCAGTCTACACCTCTGTAGTTGGCTAAGACGAGAAGTCGAAGACCTCATGGATTGATTCCATATTTTCATTAGACCACTGCTAACCCCTTCCTTATTAATCCAATGTCAGTTAATTCCCACTGGAGGTAGTTTGTTTCGAAAGTGTAATAAACCAATCTTCTTTCTCAAGTGAATGGTATAATGAGACAACATTCTACGATTTAAATGTGGATTCAGCCTCTTCAATTGCGACATAAATGTAAAGTATACATCACTGGTCAGCTCATCAGTAGAGTATGAGACTCTTAATGTAGGAGTCGTGAGTTCTAGTCCCAATATTGGGTTTCATCGTGCGCTTGTGTGCAGTGGAAGTGAGTCTCTGCTCACCGTCCACTCTCTCTCTTTGAGGAGATCATCTACTTTTGGTTTAGGAACAAGGAAAGCTGACAACAAACCAACCAACAGCCTTTGACCCAAAATACTTGCAGAAAGAAATAAAAATGGATTCGAAACACATCGCGGAGACCGGTGAGTGAGATTGCTCGTCAGGCAAGCTCTTGAGTGGAAATAGAATAGGAAACGACTAGTTGGGCCTGTGTCCGAGGGAGATATTGAGGAGATGATGTGAGGATGAAATATATGCTTGTATGTAATCGTGGAGTTAGCTAAAATGGACTGAAAAATGCAGAGTGAAATGGATATATGCTATTGAAACCTTGTGTTCCAAAGGAAACTCAAGCGGACAATAATATAACTCTTGATAAAAGGCAAGCAAATATATATCCGGGAAACCAAAAAGGATATACTTACTGAGATGAAAAAACAACCTAAATTAGTGAAGATAATTAAAGTTGATTGCTTTTGCTATAACTCATTGGATAGCGTAGATAAGAAAATGAAAGTTAAGAAATGTGTAGTGATGAAGTCATTCTAAGGTCAGTGTGAAAATCATACCAGGAATTCTGTCATAATTGCTTAACTTGGCTAGATACACCTTATCTAAAAGTAAATGAATTCCACACATCTTATTCACTTAATTTGTCTGTATCAAACCAAACCCATGACTGTATACACTACTGGTTGATTTGAGTATTTAGAAACCACTCTAATCAACTAGTATTAATATTCAAGTATTGGTTTGTAGGGATATGATTGATTAGTTACAAGATATCAGCATGAGCTGACATCGGTTAGAGAACCATTGGAAAACCTTCAGGGAGTACTGGATAGCTGTTTCGCCCCACTAGTTTGGGAGTCTTCATCAGTACGCACCCACCGGGGTTTGAGACCAGGATCTCCTGATTACAAGGCCAGCAAGCTCGTAGACCATTAAGCCACTGGGACCCTATCCAGTGACCCATGATTTTCAACTTCTGCCGATTCGCGAAACAGCGTCCAATACTTGAATACCAATGAGACGCTATCTAGTGACTTGTCCTATTTAGGTAGGTGGTTACCTGGGGTCCTAGTGGGATACATGCACTTTATGCATACATCTTTAAAATGTTTGTTTCTATGAAAAGGAAAAGACACATGTGAGGGATTAATTTCACTAAATAAGTAAATTTCATCTTTCTACTGTACTAGTGTTTGAATGCAATAAAAAATATTCAAGTGTTGGTTTGCAGTCATTTGATTGGCTTCAGGATTTCATCATGAAATGACATCGGTTTGAGGACCATTGAAAACTTGTTGCAAACCAACACTTGAATAGTAGTGAGATGCTCATTACCTCTTCAGGTAGGTAGTTACCTGGGTTCTACTGGGAAGTCGGGACCAGTAGAGTGCAGCAGGTTGGGTGTGAAGATAAATACTCTCTGATGACATTGGCTAGTGGTTGCGCTGTCTCGTGAACTGACAGAAGTTAGAATTCATGGGCCATTGGATCGGGTCCCAGTGGCCTAATGGTCTACGAGCTTGCTGGCCTTGTAATCAGAGGGTCCTGGTCTCGAACGCCGGTGGGTGCGTACTGTTTAAGAGTCCCAATATAGTGGGGCGAAAGAGCTGTCCAGTACTCCCTGAAGGTTTTCCAATGGTTCTCTTACCGATGTCAGCTCATGATGAAACCATGTGACCAACTACTATTGCTTGGTAGCCAGATTCTAAGTGATTTTCACGTCTGGAGGTGGGCTCTTCAGTGGTGTAAACTGTCTGATCCAACTCAGGGTATTGAATCTATTTACTCTAACTGAATTCAAACTAACTTTTTCATGTATTGTGTATCCAATGAGATACACATAAAAATAGTTCCTTAGGGTACTAGATGAAAACTGAAATTCACAATTTTCAAATTAATTAGCAGTTCGTAATCTACACAGTTCCCGGAGGTGAAATTTAGCCGCAGGTTCCCCGGAAACCAAATCATACTGTGATCTGAATGATACCATAATGGTAATCAAATGGGAAGTCATATTTACATAAAATTATATACTACTGATTGATTGAGATAAGTAGTCGCATACCACCCATATCAACGAGCAGTACTTACTAGCCAGATCAAGGCGATCGAAACACCGGGTAGCTGTTTCCTTCGTTCGGTGCCAACCTTAGTGGTGATATTGATTTTCGGTGTTACCAGTTCAACCAAGTAGCTAACCAGAAATCGAGTGGTTTGAAATGATTTGGCTCTCTGAACTGAGTCTAGCCGGTTACACTGCTGATGAGCTCGGTTCAAAACGAAGGAAACGGCCTTCTGGTGTTTAAATCACATCGATCTGGCTAGCAAGCACCATGATTCTAGACGAGAAAATTAAATCGGTTTTAATATATAATCACTTTATTTTATTTTTGAACAGAGTTACATAAATTTAACCGAATCAAATACATTACGTGCAATTACACTGCTAGAAGCAAAAATACTCCTATTTGGTTTAATTTTCCTTAGAGTTCTGATATTAAAAGTAAGTGATACATACCCACATACGTATGTTAAGAATAATAGTTTTCTGTTGATATAATTTTTTTGGTTGGAGGATTTCATCATTAGCTGATATCAGTTAGAGAACCATTTGAAAACCAACTAGAGAGTACTGAACAGCTGCCTAGTTCCAGTGTGGGACTCTTCAGCAGCACCGGATTCGAACCCAGGACCTTCCAGCTACAAGGGCAGCAAGCTATTAGAACATTAAGCCACTGGGACCCTATTCAGTGGCGCATGAATTCCAACTTCTGCCAATTCGCGAAATATCGCGACTGCTGGCCAATGTTTTCGACGAGTATTTGTCCTCACGCTCGACCCTACTGGTCACGGCTTCCCATTGGAACCCAAAGTTAACTGCCTGAATAGGGCCACTTGCTAGTGAGCATTAGAACTATTTTCTAAATGATGTCAGCTCTTGATGAAATCCTCCAACCTATCAAGTAAAAATCCTTACAAAACCAAAAATTAATAATTTTTTTATCCAAAATGTCACAATGCGATTTATTAGCTAACCTAACGTGTTTATTGTTTAAGTTAGTATTACATTTCCCGTCGATTGATTAAGTTAGACGCGAATACTTGACCTTTGTTGAAATGTGAGATCCTAGTAGAGGCACTTCGAATATATCTGGAGATCAACATGATGTTGCTTTGGATGATGGTAGTTAGCAGTAGAATCCAGGATGTTCGGCGCTTACTATTCGGACTCGTTATTGAGTGATGGTGTTCCTTTCAACTGAGACTTGGACTTCGTACCATCACTCACTAGGGGTGTAGTTTAATCCAACCGACAAGTCCCAAATAGAATGAAACCAGCATCTTGGATTCCACTGCTGGTCATAATCAACTAGAATAAAATCGCATCACTTCTCAGACGACGTCAGAGTATCCATATTAGGAATCGTCAATTTAATCAGATTTTTACGTGAAGTTTATGCATTTCACAGGCATTACAAATGGTGTGAAAAAAATCTGAGACAAATATAACTTGTTAAAAAAATGGATCTAAATAGCAGAGTTCACCATGAAATATCATAAACGAAGGGTGAAATATTCGAAATGGAGTTTCAGTATTATATAAGTATGTGATTTCGCAAAATCTGTTCCTCTGAGCTCCAAGTGGAACATAAGTCTTCAAGAGTTGAGCTTCTGAAGATTCAGTCAAAGTGGTATTATTCTTGTTTGTGGAATGGAGCTGCTAGCTTCAAGTCCAAACTTTCTCGTTCACAGGGCTTACTACCGGCATGGGAAGGTTGACGACTGAGTCGGTGGGGAATCGAACCCCTGAACATTTGCGTGGTTGGCAAGCATTCTCCCTCTGAATCACCGACGCACGTTGTAACATGACATATTCAAATATACAACGGACTTTAGAACTAACGGTTAAACACAAAAGAAAAAAAGCATTTATAGGTCTGATGACATCTACTTAAATAATTCTCTTAGCCTATTCAAAATTGTATCCTATAAAACAGTTTTGTATTTAACAGAAGGAATTTTCAAGTTAGATAAGCTTAAAAACTCCACTGTCGCCTAAATTTGCTTACCAGAGCGATTTTTTACGACCAGCTACGCGTAATAATCAATAAATTTAATTTTTTTTACCAGGATTAATAGTAGTTAGCTGATAGTGAGTGATTGACAATGGGTTATACTTGGCATATAGCTTCATAAAACGATATGAAATTTCTAATCTAAGTTTATTCACAGTAGTTTAAACATTTCAGAGTAACAGCGCACAAACGATTGTGAACAGAAGTTCACTAAATCAATACAGCCTTAGCTCTACCATATAGGACGCCACTGAAAGCAACAAGGTTGAACATTGGTGTTACACAGTCATCAGATAAGAGCGTATAAAGAGTATTCTTCAAGATGACAGGTAAACAAGTTACTTGGAGTTATTTACTCAAATTCGAAATGTTCTTAATGAAACATACATGGATGACTAAGAAGAATTATCGTTTGATCTTTAGATGTAAATCTGAATCCACAATGTGCTACCGAAGAGGCAGCACAAGCAAAGTGTAGTGTTTTGTAACTGAATTTGGCGGTACTTACTGGAACCTATATACTGAATCAAGTAAGAATAACAAGAATTGCGGTAGTAATTTGGGATTATCACGATAACCAGAATTTAAAAAGCCCCCGTCAAACTGTATTCAAATCAATAATATAATGGCTGATGGTATAAGACATTTTGCTAAGTCACTCAAAAAATATGGGACTGGCAGACAGCCAGTGCTTATACACAATTATTCTAATGAATATGAACAGTCTGATCGACAAGAAGACTCTAGAAGATCTAAAATCTGCAGGTGAAAGCAAACGAGTTGACAGAAGAAGCGGCAGAGACAGGACTTCAAGTTGGCATGGATATCTAATCAACAACAATAACAAGCATTAATCACCATCAACGGGAAAAATTTTTATTAGGTCAATTCTTTCACTTACCTGGGCAGTATCGTCTCAACTGCAGACAGGCACAGATGAAGATGTCAGTGTCACGATTGGGAAAGCGAGAGAGAAATCAGGGTGGAAATCTACTCTACCCAGCAGATTGTGATTTCTAGCACTAATGTCAAGTTATTGATTCTATGCAGCTCAAAAGCCTGCAATTCGCGTCAGAAAAAGCACTCCCAACAGACTGCTGCAAAAGTTTATCAATAGTTAGTTGCTTTCGCTGTCTTGGTAGTGAACATCAGATAACTGATCAGTAAGCATAGGCGACAAGGAACTGTGGCAACGAACCAACCAAGAAGCCATTACCCAATAAATATGAAGAAGGAAATAGAAATGGGTTAGACACATGCTGAGGAGACTTTGTAGTGACATCAGATGCAAGTCAGGCTGTTGAGGGGAGGCGGAATAGAAAACGACCAGTTGGACGTGGGTTCAAGGGTGGCATGGAGGAGACCATGGAAGGAGGGAATAAGAGGTTGTGGACAATCGTGGGGCTAGCCTAAAGGGAATTCAGAGAGTATAATGAAATGGAGATGTTCTTTTGAAGGCCTATAATCCATTTGGAACCCCAAGAAATAGTATATATATATATATATATATATATATATATATATAATGGCTCGCCAGCACGTCTTGCACCGTCAGTTTAATGTAATTAGTTCAGTTAGTACAATTAAGCATCGTCAGATAAGTAGGAACAACCAACGGAATTAAAATAAGTAATTTGGAAACTACTCGAGTACTACGGTGTACCCCAAATATTCATCAACCTTATTCAACAGCTGTACGACAACGGCACATGTCAAGTGATCCACAACGGAAAACTCAGTGAGGCGTTTGGAGTAAACATAGGAGTCAGACAAGGGTGCTTATTATCATCAGTGATATTCCTAATTGTGGTGGACTGGATTATGCGTCAGACAGTGGGAAACGAGAAGACAGGGATATCCTGGACCGACTTGAAGAACCTAGAAGACCTAGATTTCGCGGATAATTTATGTTTGATGTCACACAAAATCGAAGACTTACAAGCGAAAACCGACAAACTGGTCGAAGAAGCAGCAAAGACAGGACTCCAGGTGAACACAGACAAGACGGAGGTTATGAAAATAACCAACCAACAACAACAACAGCAGCAACATCCAGCGCCAATCACCATCAACGGGAGGGATTTGAAAGAGGTGACTTCATTCACTTCACTGATCTAGGTAGCATTGTCTCAACTACAGGCAGCTGGAACGGACGAGGATGTCAAATCGAGAATCGGGAAGGCGAGAATCACATTCATCAACCTGAAACCAATCTGGAAATCTTCGTCACTCAGCCTGCATCGACAACAAAATTCGGATTTTCAATACAAACGTCAAGTCAGTCAGTTCTTCTATACGGTTAAGAAACTTAGCAGGTCACCAAGAATATTTCCAACAGCCTGTTACAGACCTTTATCAACAACTGTCTTCGCTCTGTACTGAAGATCAGATGGTCGGAAAGAATCACCAACAAGAAACTATGAGAACAAACAAAACAAGAACCAATCGCCCAACAAATATGCAGGAGAAAGTGGAGATGGATTGGACACTCGCTGAGGAGGCCGTTGGGTGACATCGCGCGTCAGGCCATAGCTCGAGTGGAACCCGAAAGGGAAGCGGCGAGTGGTTCGTCGGTGCAAGGGTGACATGGAGGAGATCGTGTGAAGAGGAGCTGAAACAGTTTGGACTAACATGGACGCAGGTGAAAAGTACAGCAGAAGACAGAAGCAAGTGGAGACGTGCAGCTGAAGCCCTATGTTCCACTAGGAACCCAAGGGAACAATAATAAATAATTCCATGTTAAACCAAACAGTATTTCTGTGCACTATATCAGTTAATCAGCAGCCAGAACGAAAATGGTTCTGAGGGAACCTACTCTCTTAAAATACTTATTAGTATACTCAGTACACGATTATTACTGTAAGCCAACGAATACTCTTTTATGGCAAAACGAAATATCATTGAGATCAACTCTGTAAGGTTAATCATTCATTCGGCCAAATGAATTAAATCTGCTATCTTCTTGCATGTAAATGTGTATTTGAAAATATTTAAAATAGCCACTTATTTTTCAAATACCCCGTAATTGCCTGTTTTCTTTAGCTGTTTTTAGGTTATGAATTAGGTTCATCTAGTGAAGCTGCAAAACAGAATAGAGTTTCAATGTGTAGAAAGGTGATTGCCTCAGTCTGTGTTTATATCTATCGAAAAATTATGACTGAAATTATAAGTGAACGTGTTCGAAAATCACAAGTGGTAAGTAAATATATATATATATTACATAATTAATTATTAGACTTGTAAACAAAGGTGAATACGGCAGAATGCGGAATAATCCAATCCTGTCTAGATGTTCTATGATGTCACGCACTTAGACATAAGTAGAGGTGGTTAGAAAACCATGAGAAGAGTTAACCAAATGAAATGATGGAGGTCAGTGATAAAATAGGTATTAATCGAAAGCAATAAGGAAGTAGATAAATGTAAGCATGAAGTTATTTCAAAAGGTCATGGCGGCAGTGAAGACAGGAATTCAAGTGAACAAAGAGAAGACAGAGTTAATGAACATCCCTAGACAACAACATCGACCAATTATCATCAATAATAATAAAGGAAATCACATCTTTCACTTACCTAGTCAGAGTGGTTTCAACTACGGTAGCACGGACAAGGATACCAAAGACAAGTGGTTAGGACTCTCGCCGACCATGCACATAGTCCGGGGTTCGATCCCCTGCCAACGCACACCTGATATCTATGGTCGGCCTGCGAAATTTGGGCTACCCATATCACATTCTGAAAATTCCATACTTGTTCCTAAAAATATGATGTGGAATCAAGCTGTAATAAAAAAAGAAGACGAAAGGAGAACAAACTTCATTGCTCTAACATTGTTTTGGAAATTTTCAATCAGCGTGAGGAGAAGCCGCCGAATTGTCAATGAAGATCACTAAACCAAATAAAAGAGGTTATAGTACATCTACTATGGTTTCAAAACAAAGTTAACCAAGGAAGGTTTAGTGTGATGACGAATTGTTTTTGACAACACAAAAAGGTGGTTTAAACTTCCTAGTCTCCAGGGCTTCCACAAACTTAAGGATAAGTCACGAAAAGGTTTTACAGATAGGTTTAAGAAAAGTGTCCTGTCTTTATAATACGTTTCTCAATAGAGGAGATAGGTCTCCTGTTCTCACCACTAATGGATTGTGGGGATTCTATTTGCCCCTAAAACCATATAGGGATATGCTCTAAAGCCTTCGCTTTCAAAGATGTATGTGTAGCCAAACTGGTGAATACGTTGGGTTGTGACATTATTTTTTGCATCTTCTAGGGACTTAGATGGAAATAAACACTAATATTGTTATTGACTACTAATCTATTCTACGTATATAAACATATATACAATTGTAGAGCCAGAAGAAGAATTTATCGAAAAGGATATTCTTTGCTCAATTATTTTGTGTGAATATTTTTGCTTAAATTTTGTCAACAAGGAAACACTTCCGACTACAAAGCCTTTTCAAGAGTTGGTCTGCAGGAATTCAACTGATTTCAGTTCACATCATAAAATGACTTCAGTCAGAAAACCACTGAGCATTAGACAGCTCTTTCGTTCTAGTCTGTGACTTTTCAGTAGCACGGAGTCTTCGGGGTTCGAACCCTCAGGTTACAAGGCGAGTTCGTTGGTCATTCAGCCACTGGGATGGAGTCGAATGGCTCATCAATTCAGGCAACTCCAGCCAGTAGTTAGTCACTAGAATAATTTTAAAATGTTGGTGTACAGGAATTTTATTGGTGTAACGATTTTTATTTTCTGAAAGGTAGGCGGAAAGTGTGATCACACTTAAAACGTATTTCGATATTCTCTCTCTCTCTCTATATATATATATCAAGTATTGATTTCGTAGCGATTTTGTTTGATTGCATGGAGGATTACAAGGTAAGCTCGTAGACTATTGAGCCACTGGGATCCCATACAACTCAAGGAATTCAAAGACCATTGGATCGAGTCTCATTGGCTCAATGGTCTACGAGCTCACCTTGTAACCAGAAAGTCCTGGGTTCGAACCTCGATGAGCGCGTACTGATGAAGAGTCCCAAACTAGGACGAAACAGCTATCCAGTACTCCCACGTTTTCCAGCGGTTCTCTAACTGATATATATATATATATCCACTGCCCATTATAATTATCTTGATAAACGTCATTTATTTGTATATAGCCAATACCAACGGAAATAGAGGCAATGATTCTGAATGATACTGAAATGAAAGAAGTGTATCGGATAGTCAGTGGTGCTCCGTTAACAAACTTTATCGTGAGTCAGTTATACTTTTTGTATTGTGTTGTGTGTGTGTGTTTAAACAACGCTTTCGTAGTCAAAATGTAATGTTAAGTTCTCCACTCTCAATAGAAGTAATTCCCACGCATGTCTAAACATGTCTGAATGAAGGAACAGCCCATGAACAACCTATTTCAAGTTCAATCCTGAATTGTTATCAGTTAGAGAACCACTGAACACCATGGAGTGCTAAATAGCTGTATAGTTTGAATGTGGGACTCTTCAGGATTATACACGTACTGCCGAAGAAGCTTAAGACAAGGACGAAACACCTGCCAAGTGCTCCACAGTTTTCAATGGTTCCCTAACTGATATCAGTCCGTGAGAAAGTGTGGAGACAATCAAATCCCTACGAACTGATACTTGAACAGCACTTATGTGAATACGTCTCTTACTTATGTTAGGAAACATACTCTTGAGTTCATATCATAGATTTGATAAATTCAAGTAATTTTTGTACTGATAGAAAAATCTCAGGCATTCTTCCTGCCTAGTAAATAATGCTTTGGCATTTGAAACGACTGACGCTAGGTCCAAGCCTGGGTGGGAACACCATCATTCGACTGAGATACAGGTGCATCCAAATGATGAGTCCTAAATAGAACGAAACGCCAGTTTTAAATTTTACCTTTAGCCACTTTTAACCAATTAACAACATTTCCCAGTGAGAAATATACATGATAAATGTTTTAAATCAGTTTTAATTCCACCCCTGTGAAAAATAAGTGGATTCTGCGTACTCATTTATTTTATGTAATTGTATCTGTTGATGCACAGTAGTTTGAACTGAAAATAAATGACAGTTTCTACAATAGATTTCAATAACTTGATTATTTAACATCGATGTCATCACCCTGAAGGCGATGTATACACATATATACATACATACAGTAGCAAATGAAAGTGGAGGTAATAAAATATAAATCGAAGGCCAGTCACTGGGCTGCAGAGTTCCTAATGTGGAGACCATCAATTGACGCCACACAGGCTTCCTTTAATATTTGTGATCGCAACAGTATGTGTACAGTGGTGATTGCGGTAGCAGATCTTCTCGATGCCAGGAGGAAGTGTACCATCCTTAAGAATGAGGTGAGACACTAGAGTCATCGATAAAATATTCGTTTGATGCTCCTGATTCAGAAGCACCCTCACCTGATAGTACAACTCATCGGTAATTGCAATAGGCTGCAATCCGACAGTGCATAGACACATAACGAATGGATAACTCTCTTTGGCCAGTCGCTTCTTACTGTAGTATGACGTCCTAGCCTGACAGTACATAAATGACTGTTAACGCAGCTTCGGCTACACTGCTAAGTGCGAAACCATTGTCAGCTAAACCGGATGGCAATGCCACGGGTCAGAGGATAAGTGCAGTTGGTATACGTCATTAGGACTTGCAGATAAGGAAGATATTCGATTCACTTCATTGGAATCTTCAATGCTGGCCTTTGAGATGTAGTAAACATTGAGGCTTTCCAATCTCCTATTTATATCAATCTGAGAACATGAAAGGTGGAAATCTTGGACGTGTTGAGTGGCTCCAGAATATCCGTGTTAGATATAGCACTGGAAACAGGAATTTTGAAGGCAGCTGACTAACAATTTGGAATGATTTCAAAAACTAGCGAAAAGCTAATAATAGTGAAGATATCAGAAATAGCAAAGGCGATAAATACAAGACAAAACGGTTTATATATAAAAAGATAAAAGGGATTAAGTAGCTAAAAACAATTGGAGATACGGTCTATGACAGTGAGCATGGAATTATAGTTTCTCATTGATTGTTGTTTCATGATTTGTGCGATGACTGAGACATTGACCGGACGCCTATAACGAAGTGGTTGGTTGTCTTAAAGGACTACTCCTTAAACCCTTGATTTAAAGTCTGAACCACGAGGCCACACAGCAGACTCCATATAGATGTCGGTGACCAAAACAGATTAGTAAGGAGTTTGATCCTCCAGAATCCGGAGTCCATATGCACCATAGGGATTTCCGGGAGAGAATAAAAGCCATTAACAAGATGTTTCCACACATAATATAGCAAACGCAAAAGCTGACATTCCAGCTATGTAGAAACAGTGGATAGAACACCTTTAAAATGCAACATCTGATTTGATTACAGTATCCTACTAAACACGTGATACAAAATCACATAAGACCAACTATAACTGAGAAAATTTAAACCATAATTGACCACCACACCGCTCTACCTGTTCGAGTATATTGAAACAAGAGCACAGCAAGTATGTTCTGCAATAACTTATATATTTACTCAGGTTTTCCAGCTCCGCTAAATGGACATCAATGTTCACTAGTCCACTTATAATCGCCAAACATTCGCATTCGTCACTTGGACTTTTGTGAGAACATCCAACCTCTGCCGTATGAAGCTATAATCCCTATTCAATCCAGAAACATTCGCCACACTCTTTTCAAACACACACAAACGTACATTTTATGACGGGAACTATGATCTAGTAGACTACGGGCGAATACTAACTTAATGAGATGACTAATCTGTCCCAATCGCACGACAACAACAATAACACCGCCAGCACGCAAAGACAAAAGAAAAAGACTGGACGTCGATAAGACAGCTTTTATTGTTTCAAAACCATAGTCAAAATGCTAGACAGAAACTCTGTATATATATACAGTTAGAATGACCTTTAAAATGCAGTAATTCAATGATGTTTTAAAATTAATAAGAATTCACATTTAAATTGTCAATCATGTCATACAAGTATCAACAGTAAATAACAAAATTGTATGAGCTGTGATCAAAATTTTGTTTATTATACATACTTGTTGAATGACATGTGATGTTCCTTTTATATATAAACCTCTGTTATGTTAATTTCGATTAATTTCCCTGAAGAAGTTCGGACCAGATTGCCGAACGAAACGTT